ACCCCCCCCCCCCGATTTGACTGAAATTGCGACTCTGAAAAGAGGTAACTCCCGTAGCAAAATTTTGCGTTCAAACATTTTTTTAAATAATTTATGTTTCTGGTAACAAGAGTCTTCTTCTTTTCGCTGAAGACAAGGCGTTTCGCGTCTCTTTTTACGAAGTTTGTTTGTTCTCTCGTTTTACTATCTTTTGTATCTACGTATGTAACCTTCTCCGATTTTTTATGTCGATCCCTTGCCTATATCGCGTCGTCCTATTACATCTGCGCGATTTCCCCCTCTCCCCTCCCGCCCGACTTATCAGAAAGCTGATAAACTTTTCAGAGTTCGATTTTTGCAGAGCGATTTCGGTCAAGACTCCGCAACCTTCCCGCCGTCTCAGCATGCGTTCTGCCCAGTGGCGTGACGTGCTTTGCAATATATCGATTGATCTGCCAGTCAAACCTATGGAAAAGGATCGATAGACAGGGGGCTCGCAACGAACACCTCAATAATCGATTTTTTACCATAGGTTCAAATGGGGAAATATCGATAATCGATCATTGACGCCTCGCCACTAGTTCTGCCCTTTTTCTGCCCTCGGGGAGCGGATTCGATCAGCGTCCCGAGTGGTTCTCGAACTTCCATCGATGATGCTGTGAAAGTCCCTCCGCGTCCAACCCGAAAGCAGTTTTCTGGTTTTGTTCTGTTTTGTTTCGATCTGGTTTTTTTGGATATCATCGGAATTTTCGTGTCACTTTCCCAATGTTTTCCCGTATTTTCCCCTCTTCCTTCCTCCTCTATTTTTACCCGAATTTCGAACCGAGTAAAATGTTCGCGGGTTCGGTTTTCGACGTGAGCGTCCTGGTTCTTGTCATCTATTTTTTCTTCTCTAAGAGGTGAGTATCCCTGTTCAATAATCAAGATCGGTAGTGTTGGCCGGAAAATGCATATCTTGATCCTCGCCGCGATCCACGGCGTTTCAAAATATCCGCTGATTTGAAATTTATTTTCAAGAAAAGCAATAATTATTTGTTAGTTTTTAAAATTCTCGCCGCATATCGTGCGATTGGGGGGTATGCAGCTATGCACCCTGGCCGCCACGCGGCCCAACCATCAGCGGTTGCTTCGCGCCCTCTAATGCCCGCTTTCCGGGCCCCAGTGACTCGGACTAAATAGAGCGGGATTATCTAGGGGCTATCTCCCATTAGTTAGCCGCAGAACACCAGGAAAGTCGGCCTGGTTGATCTTCACCACAAATTGTAACGTCGCGAATCGGAATACGTTTTTTTTTACTCTTTACTTAAACCATCGACGAGCCGCGTACTGTACGTGATAGTGCCGTCGAGTCATAGAGGTGCGGAAGGAGGTCAGGGTCAAAAATTTGGAACGAAGAAATGCGGGTCGCGCATGAAAACAAAAAAGAAATTCCTAACAACATTTCGAAAACATTTTTCCAAAACAACGAATGTCCCACTTGAAAAGCATTACACATCAATGCACATACGTGACTTCTTACGATCCATTTTTGAAGAGTCTGCAGTTGAAAAATGGGGAAACTGGTGGAGCTGTATCAAAACTCAGTCTCTAGAAGAATGCATGGAATGAGTTTTTTTTCGGTCTCGAAAAATCATGGGAAACCTGGAAATGTTCGTAAATTTTTCTCAACTGCGAAAAGCCACTAAAAATGAAGGAAATGTTGCTTTTGACCCTCGACAGACTCAACGAGCCCATACTTATCCATAGCCTGGCGGGAAAAGCTCTCAATGAGAGGAGAGAGAAGTTTAAGATAAAGATGAGAAAGCAAGAGAAAAGAAAGAAAAGACGAAGGAAATAGAAATTCTACTTTTCCCCAGCTTCTTTCTCTCTCTTTATCTTCATATTCTTCCTTTTCCTCTTCTTTTTCTTCTTTTCCTCTTTTTCCTCTTCTTTTTCTTCTTTTCCTCCTTTTCCTCTTCTTCTCCTTCTTTTCCTCCTTTTCCTTCTTAGGAAAAACTTAGGAAGACTTACACGAAGTCTACTGAGTCCATGAATTCCCCTCCAGTAATAGAAAATGCTCAGCTTTTAAAAAAGTTATGTCGCAATTTATTATTGAACCATTCACCTACGAAATTGGCCAAGCAGTTCAAGCTCATGAACCACCAAAGTCATGATAGATGAATAGAACCATAGCTCAACTGGCCCAAGCGCTTGTGAGCCCTCTTTGTAAATGGTGTAGCTGCCGTTGTTTAGAATGGTTATTATGCTTGTTTACCACAGACTAGCACAGCCAGCCAAGGGACTTCCGCTCATGAGTGTGACGCTTGTAGATCAATCTCTATTACGAAGTTCGTCACTGTCCGCGTTTTTGCCTAGCCATTAAAATTCAGGCGAAAACTGATGCGCGTCGCAGAGTGAACGGAATTCCACATAGTCGACGGCGGGAGTGTTTTTTTTTGTTTTGTTTTGTTTTTTTTTTTTTTTTTTTTTTTTTTTTTTGGGGGGGGGGGGGTTAGACGTACGTTTAAACCCACGTCCCTTTCGTGACCTTGGAGGCTACTGATTCATCCTGATTCTTGAACAATCCCTAACCAGAATCTTGTTAGTTAACGATAGATACCCATACTGCCGTGCTAAGGAAGAACGCCGTATGAGGCTTCAGACGTTGCTATATTTCCTTCAATGAACCTAATTTTTCTGGAAAATTTTTGCATATTTTTTTTCAGATTTTCCAGACAATATTGTTTGCAATTTCATCTAAAATATCTGAAAATGTCAAACGAAAAAACGCATAACTTTCCTTAAAAATGCATGTTGTATCGGGGGTAATTTGGCAACTCTCGAATTTTCATACGACGTTTTTCCATAGCACGGCAGTACATAGGAAATCAATTATTAAGAAATTGATTTTTAGAAAATCGATTTAAGCATGAACACGGAACAGTTTATCCGTTGATAAGTGTTTCAACACACTCTCCTTGCTCCCTGTTTTGCATCTGTCGTGTGTATATTTTTGTTAGATAAGTCGATCTCTTTAAGGTTCAAATTTTTAATCATTTGGTCCCTTCGAAGTTTCAATTTTTTTCTGAACCACCTGGACCAATCAAGTTATTTCCCTATGCTCAAAATATCGATCCAATAAGGATATGTAGCCTCTGAATATTATCAGCGCTTGAAAGAGAGAGAGAGAGAGAGGGGGGGAGGCTGCCAACTAGAATAGTTTATAATCATGCTCACACCATTTATTTTTGTACTTTAAATGGTAGTGTGCATGAAAAATGCTGGACATCTCTTCAGATGTTCCCCAAAAGAGCTTCATTTTTCATCCCTAAGATCCCCAAAAACTTGTAATGCAATCTCAATAGAAACTTTATGACTTCCTTATTTTGTTAATTGATGTTTTATCCAATTTCTTTTTTTAATAGATTTTCCAAGATGGTAGATGTACTGACGGCTCGATTTCAAAACCAACTGGGGAATCTACTCAACGGTGATAGTGTCCGCAGCAGAGTGAGCGAACCGCAAGATCTGTTCGATGCGTCAAATTTGCCTCACATCGCTCGGCTGGCCAGAGAGAAACACAAGCAAGAACAATTAAAAAAACGCGAACTCGCCAACAAAATCAGCTCTAAACAACTTCTTAACATCAAAGAAAAGGAATGGGGCGTTTTTTTAGCCAATACAAAATCCAATGTTGGACTTAGCTGCTCTGCCTGTACTCCAGACTCAAGAGTAAGTATATTTAATTACTCTTCTTCACTGGTTAAATCTATCCAATCCAATTATTTTTATAGTCTTCCCATTATTCAGCTTAAATCCAGAGATGTCTTCTTGCCTAAAATTTTGAGCCGTAATTTACTCTTAAGCCTCAACATTGGGACATCTTAAGAGGATTCTATTTATTTTTGAGTTTTTTAACTTCAGATCATTGTGTTTAATTGGCAATAATATTTAAATCCTTGGGTGTTGGTAGAAACAATGAATCGCCATTTGTGTCTCTAAAAGAGAAAAAAAGTTTGTAAAATTTCAGATAAGTTTAAGGTGGTAAATTACTTTTCTGGCTTCCAGGTGTCAACTTACGAGTTTGCCTCTCAATCACGTTAGAAAACCACCCCTCCCCTCTGTGCATGCAAGAAATTATTAAAAAAAATAGTGTATTTTCTTCGGAAAATACACTAAAAAATTATATAAAAGCAAGAGATAATCCAGTGTAAATTCTGAAAGTTCACGTCTGTTTACAATCTTCATATTAAAGCAGATAATTTCTTAATCCTTAATATTTATTGATTCATTGAAATTTCGCCTGTTTCCAGGAATCATTCAAAAGCAAAGACGATCGAACTGCAATGCTAAAGAATGTCTTGACAATGCGAGATCCAAGCAAAGACAGCGGATGGCTAGCCTACTATTTTAATCACATTTATGCACTGTGCAGTTCAACACACCATGATTATCCCTCAGTTTCAGAAACGGTAAGCCTTGCCACTTTAAGGATTGTAAGACTGGGTCTGTAGGGCCTGCAAAACAGACTTTGGCAGACGAAGTAAAATCGGCTGTGCGGAAAACCTTTTCATTTTTCTCATTTTATCACATATTTTTCGCAGAAACTTTATTTCCACTAATTATATTACTTGGAAGGGAAAAAATATAGAACTAAAGCATTATTGCTAGATTGTACTGAAAATTCTGCACTTTTTCCTATTTAAATCAACGTAAAATGTTCAGATCTTTTTCACATTCTCGCAACTTTAAAGTGAAGTTGAGAGAATAGATCCAGTTATTTTCTGTGAATTTACAAGCCTCCATCACTAAAACACAATTCTGCAATTTACGCAACCGATTTATTATTTGTGGACCAATAATAGCAATCCTGACTGATGTTGTTTTAAAAAAATATTCAGTATTCTCTCAAGATGCTCCTCATCAGGGGTGCAAAAAAATGCCAAATTTCGTGTTTTGCAGATTGCAGCAAATCGACGGTGTAAGTCGGCAATCACATGACTCGGTTTGGGACGTCGCAGGCTTCCTGTCAAAGTTTATTTTTTAAAGGCAATTTTTTAAAACTGCTGTGATTTTTTCTTCTCAGTGCGAAAAAAATTCTGCATAAACTTGTAGGAATGATGTTAATTTGTTCTCCTTTAACAAAATAACATAGAGGCGGAGATTTTCAGACACCGCAAACTAGATAAGTGATTGCAGACTTACGCCGTCGAAATGTATAAAAAATCTTGGTAGATGAGGCAAGTCTCAAATATGATGCCTTTTTTTTGCTATATATTTTAAAAAAAAGTGAGGCTATTTGCACATTTTGTTTTTTGTTTGCCATAAAATCAGTATTTCTTCCAAGAGGCAAATCGGAGAGGCAGTGAGACAAAAACGCCGGTTAGCAGCAAGCAGTCTGCTTTTTGTAGCTTCAGGGATAGAAGAATGAGACTAGCCAGAAGAACAAAGTCTCACGCAGAAAGTCCTGAGGGTTTTACATATAAAAAAGAGGGGGAAAAAACTGGAAATTCTTTCCATTTCATCTGTAATTCCTCTCCATCCTCAGAGTTTTTTTGACTATTGAATCGAAAGTTTCTTGGGTTAGCATCAATGTCAGCTGTAAAAATTGTTATTTTCTTATGGATTCCAGTAGATGATCGACCACAGAATTCAAAACATTTTATCATTTTGGCTAAGATATTGTGAGAAAAGTTGGAGAATTTTTTCTTGTGACATCTGTAGACACTCTGACATTTACTAATGAAGTTTCTACTGTTTCTGATGAATTCTCATCTGATGATTGTATTTCAGGTTCTCAATAGTGATCAAATCCAAGAGGCTATTGAGCTCTCCGCGCATCAAATGTTGGAAGATGAAGGTGTGAAAGAACCTGATGAACAGTTTTATCAAAAAGTAATCAACAAAAACGCACAAAGAGCAGCAGCAATTCTCCGCGGAATGCAAACAACAGTTAACAACTTAGTTTTCAAGTGAGTTCTTTTATCACATTTTTAAGAGTTGAAACAATGTCTTGCATTTGCATTGCTTTCACCATATTTTTGGCAGGAATGGAAGATTAAAACAAATCCTAGCACAGCATAATTTACTTATAGGAGGGATCCAATTGTAAACTCTTGCGCAGGAAATGATCTTTTTGTTGAAATTCTGATATGTAATGTTCCCATTGTCACTGAGAAGTACCACTTACAGTTTTAGAACGGAAAGGAGTCTCCATAACTGTATCGTTGGAGTGATGGAGTGGTTATTCATCATAATGTTAATCAATCTTTTCAAGGTTGTAAAATAGTGCTGGGTCCACACTTTTTTGCGGGGGAAATCATTTTGGGGGTCAATCATTTCATGAGCAATGTACCTCCTCTTTCGAGACCGGCTTTTTCTGTTGTCCTCTCTTTGCAATAGGGCCTTTTATTCATCTGGAAACCAGCCCCCACTTAAAAAATCAAATGTTTCGTCCTCAACTGCAATAAATGGTAATTACTGAAGACTGCTCATGTTCAATTAAGAGAGTCAAATCGATTCGGTCAGAAAATGGAGGTGCTTACTACTGAAATGACCAGCTTTCACGTAGCTGTTCAGTGAAAGTTTCTATTTTCAAATTGAAAGACTAATATTTCCTTATATATTTCATTAGACCTAAAATTCGACACTGTACATGTAATTTTAACAGGGTTCATTACAAAATTCCTCCTAAAGGCGGAAACTGGAAATTGCTCTGCTGCTTATCATGAAACTGTGGTCCACAATAAACCTCCCCTCCTCCCTGTAAGCAATCAAAATGGATGACCGGCAAATTAATCATCAGTAATGATCAATCATTATTGAGGCAATGTAATATAACGGCCACCAGCATGCTCAAAAAATTCCATCAACAAAAAGGAAAAAAAACTGAGGTAAATTGTTGTGAAAAATGAAAGTATAAATCAACCCTCTCCTTTCCGGGGGGAAAAGAAGGAGGAAAAACCAATGTACACTCTCACCTTTACTTAAAAATTATAATAGCTGCAAACAAAATTCCAAGCTCCTTATGACTTGGCCCTCTAAATTTGTTAACTTTTTTAAAACGCCAAACCGCATTTTCTCAGTTCAAACCTTATTGAACTCAGTACTGTTTGTTAAACTCAATTCAGTCGTTTAAGAGAAGAAATTAAACATCTATCTGTATGATTTTCAGGATTGTTGGTTGGTTTGCATACAAAATTCTATCAAGAGCATTCTCTGGCATGGTAATGCATCCGAGTCAAATTAAAATGCTAGAAGCCGCCAAAGCAAGAGGTCTTCCCATTGTCTATCTGCCCCTTCATCGGAGCCATTTGGATTACATAACTGTAGCACTTCTCCTTCAGTGCATTGATTTCAAAGCTCCTCTAGTCGCAGCGGGTGATAACCTCAAAGTCCCAATTCTTGAGTGAGTATGAATTTAAGCTAAATTGAAGCTTGATCTGAAAATGATGATTAAAATCAAACCTGTTTTGACTAAAGTTGACTGTTTTTCGTATGTAGTCTGAAAAACCTGGAAAGTCAGAGAATTCTTAGGAAAAATCTGAGAATTTTTCATGTACTGCATACATTCAGCAACCTCAGTTGGTGCTATTCGAAAGCGCAGACCCAATTACCTTTTTCCTTTTTAAATCTCTAAAAATGAATATTTCATCTGAAGTTTCGTAAAAGTCACCATGATTAAAATAGTAAAAGAATGTAAGTGAAAGTTTTATTTGAAAGTGAGGGTATTTGGAATTTTTAGAGTCAAAGAAAATTTCAAAATTTTGAAAACCGTGTAAAATCCTCAATGATTTGAGTCTCGTTTGCATTATTTTAAAAAAGTTTTATTCCGACGTCACTAAAAAATTGGATACTTATCTGTAGAGATAATAATAGGCAAAGAGTTCAAAGATTCAGAAGCATTTGCAAAATTGAGGACCTGGATGATAAAAGAGCACTTCTCAGTTAGTGTTCCAGAATCGCCACCAACAATCTTTTCTTTTTTTTGAGAGGAAATTACTGAATCACTGAACTTGCGATTTATACTGAAGATAGCATTGAATTATGAAGAATATTCTGTTAAATTTCCATCTCGACACAAGTATTTTCTTCCCTGCAAAAAGTAAAAATTTAAAAAGCAATCATGAAACACCAAAACTGAAGTTACCTTTTTGCGGTCAATTACAACACTCCTCAATTACAGCAGGTGAAAGCTGTGCTACGTAAGCGGAGTTGTTAATCCATGAAATAACCAGGCTTTTTTGAAAAATTGTTTGAGTCCTTTTTTAGACCAATTTTTAATATTAACCATTTTCCTGAAAGTTAATGAGATCACAAAATTAACGGCCATGAGGTATCTGAACTCAATCTACGCTTATGTCTACATTTGTATTTTTTTTTCTATCCTGTCTGAATAATCTTATTTTTATCTTAAAATTAGGTGGGCCCTGAGAAACAATGGAGCATTTTTCATCAAAAGACGAATTGACCCTGTGACTGGCCGCAAAGATATTTTGTATCGTGCTATTTTATGCGCCTACATGACTGAATGTCTAAAAGCTGGGTATCACCTCGAATTCTTCATTGAAGGAGGTAGAACAAGGACAGGGAAGCCTGTGATTCCGAAAGGTAAAAACCGTCTCTTTTTGTGCTCAAAGTGTAAGTCCTCAGGTCACATGAAATACCTCAAAGGGGAAATGGATTTCCATTAGTGTCCTGGGACTAAAATAGTGAATTGTGAGGCAGTTTTTAATCTTGTCTCGAAAGCTGCTTTTTCATTCTCTTTTTCCATCACATGAACCGAGTTGATCAGAAGTGATCCAACAAACATTTTATAATAGTTAATTTTAAAATTAAATTTAGAAATCGCTCTTTCTTAATTTTCTTAAGTAAATTGTTAATAAAGAAATGCAGAGGATTCTCATCATTGCAGCGAAGAAAAACGCTAAAAAAGTCACAAAATTATTATTTCCTGAATTTTGTTATCAATTTAATTATGAATGCTTTTGCTCTGTGATGCGGATGTATGCAGCATGTTTTGCAAAGTGACATCTTTTTCAAGAAAGATTTATTTTTCTGTTATTTTACAGGTGGTCTGCTGAGCATAATCGTTGATGCTTACTTTAAAGGAACAATTGAAGATGCACTACTGGTTCCAATCAGCATTAATTACGATCGTCTAGTCGATGGAAATTTCACTCGAGAACAGCTTGGAGAACCAAAACAACCAGAAACACTTTGGGGCACTATCTCAGCCATTTTCAAGACCATAACATCATTTTATGGGTTGATGCGTGTTGATTTTAATCAACCATTTTCATTAAAGGTATGTGAGCTGTCATCTATCAAATGCATTAAAATTGGCAAGACTATTGAATTGGAACCTTAGAAAATGCTGATGATTTTTGTTATTTACTAACACTTTATAGTGGTGACATGTGGGAGGGAAGTAAGAATGTAGAGCAATGGCCTTTTACTTTTTTCTCAGGGGATTTAAGTGAACTTAAGAGCTATTTCCTCTAATTTAACGCCCTTCTAATTAGTTCTTCCCTTAAAAATCTAGCAGAAATGATATATTGACTCAATAGCATAGATGCTGACTGGTAGTAATCTATACTATAAGCTCCAAGACCTCCTAATTTTGCGAAACTGGTGACGCTTAGTTCCAGCGTTCTACCGGGCCGATTTTCATGATTTTTGCGGCTATCGACGGGCAATTGTCTCTAGATAAGCCAACTCTTTTCAGATTTTCAAAATATGGCCCAGGTTTTTTTATATTACGTGGTAAAGTTGCGAATTCTCCCATTTAAACAATGTAAATTTATACTTTTTGTCATAGTTCGTTTGAGCGTTCTACCGGGCCGATTTCCATGATTTTTGCGTAAATCGACAGGTAATAGGCCGTAGATGAGCCCGCTGTAATCAGATTTTGGAAAAAGGACCCAAGTTTTTTTAAAATCACGTTATAAAAGTAAGTGAGTTTACAGAATGCTCCGGTACTGCTACCGCTATGCGCGGGAGGATGCGCAGTGGTCGAGGAGGTTGCGCAGTAGCTGTGTAGCCTGCGCATCGGCTCTACACTTATCTACACAAGATTCGCGCCATTGATCTCACGTCGAGCGGTGGCCAAGTCGTCTAAGACGTTGGATGCGACCACTTTGAAGTCGGTGTGGGTTCGATCCCTGAATCTTGGAATTTTAAATATTCCCTGATTATCATTGTTCATTGTTTTACTGCAATATTTCATCAAGCAGTCATTCCTAAACGCGTCCTTTTAATTTTAAAGTAATTTTAAGTAAAGTTTAAAATTAAAGTATACCTCATATCGTAATTTTTTAGGGGAAAAATAAAACTAACACTGATAGGAGGGTAAAAATAGGGCCGCGAAGCGGCCCATTGATGGCGCGGAGCGCCTTCAGGGGGTTGGGCCGTGTAGCGGCCAGGGGGCGTAGCCCCCTAGTATCTTTCTATTTTTGTGAATCACAGCTTTTGATAAAGGATAGGAAATTAGGGCTGTGCGAATATTCGCAATTCCGACTATTCGCGCCGCGAATATTCGCTTCGTCTGTCTTGCGCACTATTCGCAAATTGCGAATAATCGCGCCGTCGCAAATAGTGAATTTTTGAACTGACATTTTCAAATATTCGCGCCGTCACGAGGAATGAATTTTCAAATATTCGCGCCATCAAAAATAACGAATTTCCGAGTGACAATCGTGAAACGTTGCGAGGACCTGCTCAAGGCTTCCGCTTCCACCCGAGACATCGCGAACGGCAGATCTCCTTTGATCTTTACCGACTTTGCCGAGTTTACGAACAGCGAGCGCGATTGCGATTGGGGGAGTAAGCAGAGAGCCCAAATCAAAGATTGAAAGACACAGAAATTTCTGAAATTGAAAAAAAAAGTTCATAAACACATTTTCATTTAAAGCGAAAAAAATAAAATACTAAAATGTGTCTAGTGATCCTTCGATACTAGCCTGACTGCCCGCGCTGTTACCTTCAAATCCTGGAAATGCATACATAACTGCAGGGACAGTCAAGCCAGCATCCAGGGATCTTCGAACAAATTCTTAACAGCCTAGGCTACTATCATAGCATTTCATTGTTTTCTGTGCAGGCGTATGAGCAAATGGAAAATTCTTAAAAATTAGTCACATTTTTTTGTTGACTTTTGTAATATTCGCGAATTTTTACACTTAAAAAAGTCATTTCCGATTATTCGTTTTAGTATTCGTAGCTGTGAATAATTGACTTAAATTATTCGTTATTTGCTTCGCTATTTGCGAATAGTTGCCGAAATGATTCGCCATTCGCTTCGTTCGGAAAATTCACTATTCGCTTAGCCCTATAAGAAATACAATAAAATATCTGTATTCTAACTTTAGAATGTTTTTAATTATCTCTATTTTTTTCTGCTTTCCTCTAAAATCAGGAGTTGGTCAAATCTTTTGAAAGGCAGATGAGCTCCACAAATAAAGGTCTGCATGTATTACGACACAGCAGCTCATTTCATGGAACGGTAGAAGTTTCAGAAGATCAACGCCAACTAGTCAATTCAATTGCTACACATATTGTCTACGGTATGTTGAAAAATTTTCTACTTTGATCTCATCATTTTGAAATATTGCTTAAATAATGTGACAAAATTTATCTGCTACAATCAAGCATTACCTCAGAAACTAAATTGCCCTCTAAATGTGTCACTTAATGTCAGACTCAGTGGCGTGCGGTGGGTTTGGTGACAGGGCAAGCTCTAGCGTTCGCCATCCAGGGGGGGGGGGTGGTTTAACGTAGCCTCTTTCCCCTCCTCAGGGAGCCTCCCTAGAAAATTCTTAAAATTTACTCTATTTGCTCTGTTTTGCGGATGAAATCTGATGGAACGTCTTGAAAAACTGTGGTTTAATTTCTTTCTCTCTTACTTATGATTTCGTTTACTCAACTTGTTTCGAATGTTATTGAGCAGTGGAGGACGGCTCCATGCTCTTAAATCCTAATTTTGCCATGCCACTTATTTGAGGTATCATAGTCTTTATTCTATGGCATTTAGAATTTTTTGAGTTACTTAAAATTCCCCCAAAAAACAGCTCTCTGCGTTTAAAACATGATTGTGAAATTTTTCTAATTCATCACCAATAGATCCTAGTGAGCGACATTTTATAGAATTTAAGGGCATTTGCTCCGGAGGAGCAATTACGACCGCGACGGAAAGAGGGAACAAGATAGCGCATCGGAGGCAGAAGCAGCGCGCTGCGGTGACGGGCCAGGAGATGGCCAAGAGAAGCGAGCTGCGATCGCGCAGTGAAGGGCTCGGACTCGGAACGTACCGCACTCCCCGCCTGCCTTGATTCCGCCGCTGAGCAGTGGCGCTCCGCTCAGCTGATCGCAAGCGACTCTCCAGCGCATGAGTTGGCCCGTGTTCAGGCCGCGCAGCGCGCTGCGCCACCTCCATCCTCTCTGCCGCTTTCCTACTTTCGTGGCTCTATACGTATTTCTGTCTCTTTCTCTTTCTGTTTTTAATGCAATTTACTTACTGAACACCTTATAAATTATATTTGCTAAAATGTAAAACATGTAATAGGTGTAATTTTCTTCTTTCTCTTGAAATCTTTGGGCAAGCAGTGCTTGCCTTGCTTATCCGGACCGCACGCCACTGGTCAGACTAGTTCAAATAGTCCTGACGGTGCTAATCTCATCAAGTAATTCTCCAAAAAGTAATTAAGAGAATATCTTCTAACTTACCTACAAAATTCTCTCAATTTCTTATTATTTTATACTCATTTCATGATGAACTATTTTTATTTTTGTTTACTTTTTTTAATTTTTATTTTTCTTTTAAATTTACAGATTGTTGTCAATACATGCCCGTGATGTCAACGAATGCTGTTAGTTTTCTGCTGCTCACTAAATTTCGAGATGGTGTTGAATTACAAGAATTAGCCAAGGAACTAGACAGTTTACGACAAATGCTTGAATGGGATGGTAGAAATATAGGTTTTACTGGCTCTTCTAGTTTTGTTATTCAACATGCGGTGAGTTTAAGTCTTCCTCTATTTTCTCTGCCATTGAAAGTGTTTCCACTCGAAGAATGGTTTAAACTGGTTTTGTCAGTCTTGGAAATAGACTTTCAGATTGCAGCAATTTGAGGACTCTCAGAATTTAAAAAGAAATGAAAGAAAAAGAGGAAGAAGAAGAAAAGAGTCCAAGAGAAATTTAAACTCTTACTTTGTTTGAAGCTCTTCTTCTACCTTGTGAAAGAGTGCTCTCAAACTTTTTGAAACAGAACGTTTATTTTACCTTCAGAGCAGTTTTTTTTTAAATTGATGATCTTACATACTGTACTCTCAGGCTCTGATCCATAGTGTTTCAATATTGATATAATACACACAGCCAATGTAAAATCGAAGTTCCGAGGTCACAAAACCTTCCTGACTGCTCGAGCGGTTTCTAAAACATATTTTAAAGGCTTTAAAATGAAACTGTTGATTCTCTATTGATTTTCCATAGATATAAGGGCCAACTAGTGAATTTCTCTATTATCTTTCCAGGTAAAACTCCTAGGGCCTGATTTGGTTGAGCAAAATCAGTCCAGCAATGATACAGCCATCATAAAACCAGTTTTAGCCTTGCCAAGCATCATTGAACTCTCGTATTACAGCAACACACTTGTACCACACTTCATTATGCCAGGTGTTGTTGGTAAGTCATCTCTATTATTTGAAATACAAAGCAAGCTTGCTAATTTAAGAATAGAGGAACCTAGGATTTTTTTTGCATTAAAGGGTTTTTGAATCGGCAAGATTTCGCATTATATAGAGCATTTTGAGGACAACTCAAATTAAAGATATTTTATTTAAAAAAAGCTCTCTATAATCAGTGTTCAGCCCTAGCAGGAGCATCAAAAATGCTTTGCTTTCTGACAAACCAGCAATAGTTTCATGCTTAGTTATACATATCAACTGGCTGTAGACAGCTAGAACCCAGTTCAGTATTTTCAAAAACATCAGATAGCACTAAAATGATGACATTGATATGACACAAGGCATGGCATTAAAATGTGATCTTTGAGATGTGCTATCTGTTGCTGCTGCTGAAAGACTCAAAGAAAAAAATTGATTAACAAGCAGTTCGAGATGTGAATACATCTACACGCAAATGAACGATCCTGAACGGGCAAGAGTTGTTCCTCTTATTCCTCTTTACATTTTCCTTGAATTTTTTTTGCAGCCACTGCATTGTGCTCACTGTTAAAAGAACAATTTGAAACAGCCAGAAGTCAGGGTGGAAATTCGACAAGGCCAACCACCACTCAATTGGACTTACTGCAGCATTCGTTGAAATTATGTGATATTCTACAATTTGAATTCATTTTCACAAAACCCTGTCAGTACCTGGATTCTATCGTCATCCAAACAATAGAGCAGCTCGCCACCCTAGATATTTTAGCCGTTAAGCAGGTAAATTTTCATTGTGAATCATTTGAATGTCACGAACCACCTATGGTAAATTCTCAACACCATTTGCGCAAATTTTTTATGTTTGTTGCCTCGTTTCCGCCCACTTCTACTACTAACTGGAAATGAATATCAATGGGTTTTACTCGTTTTGCATTTTAAGCCGTATCATGAATGGATTTGACATTTTGCGACAAGTATGGTTGAAAAACTCATCGAAGCAGAATGAATAATTATTCTAAAAGGAGTTCTAATTAATCCTCTTCAAACACCTAAAACAAAATATAAAACACCAATATCCTTGTGATTAGTTGAAAAAGCTGGAAAAGCTTTGAAAAAAAGCTTTGTTGAAAAGCTTTCCGTCAGATCTGACAGAAGCGGCACTCGCTTGCTCTGACTAAACTGACTGTCATAACACTAACAAAAGCATTTGCGGATGAAAAAATTTATTATTGTAACTATTTTTTTTCATGTACACTAATTTTGTCGATGAATTTAAAGTTTTTCTAATTTTTACTTAAAATTTTCCCATCCCAATTACATAAGCTACAAAGCGTGTTTGAGGCTCTACTTTTAAAATACCACTTGTAAACAAATTCACCTATCAAACATGGTTATTCAGAGCAAGATGAATAATAATGTTAGTTTTCCATTTTGAAGTCGATGACATAAAGAAATAAAAAAAAATCTTAACTGCAACATGTTCTAAATTCTCTCATATTGATTGTTATGTCGTTTTTTTGATCCAGGAATTATTAATGGAAGAAGAACAATGGAGTCAGAGGTTTGCAAGGCGGCTTGAAGAAGAGGATGAATATGACGATTATGGAGGTGATGAATATGATGTTGATTTAGACGACAACCCATCAGTCTTCAACATTGGAAATAAAATTACTTATGAAGTGAGTTTCCTCTCAATTTTGAATAATTTTATACATAAAATATGACTTGTGGGAGTTCTCAGCAGTACATTTTTCAGAAAAACAGTAATCCCCCCATCATTTTTAACAATTCTATACTCAATGTAATTTTTCAAATCATTTTTTATTTTTGAAAGTTTTCATCTCTGCATTTTTGAAGAGGAATATGTATCTATGGGAATTGTTAATGAACATGAGAATTCAGGGGCACTTTAATTTTCACCATATCTCTTTTCAAGCACGTTGCATTAAATCAAGTAATTTAAATTTTTTTTCTTTTTTTCCTCATTATCTTTTGCAGACAAAAAAAACGAAATCTTAAATAGTCGTGATGTGTCTTAAGAATATCAATTTTGGCATCGAAGCACCCAAAAAGAAGGCAGAATGAAAACAAAAGTACTTAAATTGGTCGATGTCATCAGCATAGCAGAGGAATGAGTTGGCTCAAAAATTTAATCTTCCACTGTATAAATAATCTTCCACCTCCTGTACTAGTTTTTTCATCCTGTAGAACGAAACGTTCCCAGCAGAATGCAAACAAACACACAGAGGAAAATTCAACAACATTTTTCATTAGGAACCACAATTTCTGACTCTGTTTAGAAACATCGTATGTACCATTAGTTTTCCTACGCATACGGGTGTTTTTACGGATGGGCCATAAATTGTAGTTCCTACTTGCAAAATGAAGACCAATTGATTTTGTATTAGGCATGACAAAAAAATGCCTAGGGTTACCGTAATATGTATCATTCAAGCTTAATTTATCATGTTTTATGTCTCTTTTACAGATAAGCTTATCTTCAGAATCAATTAAGCATTTAGATTTCTATCGGAACATAGTTGCACCTTTTATTGAATCGTATTCAACCAGTGCCAAATGTCTGGAGTCACTCGCTGGCTCCCAAAACCAAGAACAAGCACATGTCAAGAGCGTTCTTGGGGAAATTAAAACACAACTTAGTCAAGGAAAACTGAAATTTAGTGAGTATATTTTGCTACCCAGTCTCATTAAGACTGCAATTAAATCTGTGAGGATGAAAACAGACGAACTCAAAATAAATGCGCAAATTCATCAAAGATGCCCAACTTTTTTAGAGGCCGATTCACTATTCACGCATGAAGAATTTTAAAAAAAAAAACAATTCTTTTACAGCGCCAAGATTCTCTTTAATTTGTCTGAAAAACTATGATCAGAGATATCTGTTAAATACCTTCAAGGTGGATGAAGAATGATGCTTGGCATCCCTCTAACGTCACACATCTTAAGATGGCAGGCAAAATTAAGGTGACCACAATTCTTTATCCGCCTTGAAATGCCTTTTGTTGGAGTTCCACTCAGACTTTAAAAAAGCCAAACTATTTTACGTTTGATTCAAGACATTATCACGTTATATTGATGGCGAACTTCCCAAACCATATATCTCGGTTTGTGACGTTGCAGGCTTCCTGTCGTACTTGATTTTCTAAATGATAAATTACTCAACATCAATTCTTAGAAACTTCCATGATTTTTCTTCTTTGTGCAAATTCTAAAAATACTTCAAGGAGTGATATTGATTTGTTCTCCTTCACAAATATAAAACAAGAGCAGAGATTTTTAAACTCCGCTAACGAGATACGTGGTTTTGGAGTTTCACTGTCAATATATCCTTTCAAAAAACATGCTATAGTGAGAAGCTTCAAAGTAATCTATGTTCTAATGCGAGATACTTACCTGGCTCACATTTTTTCTTCGTGGTCTTTCTTTTTTGAAATACTTTCCATAATGTGGTATTAGTTTCTCTATCCCATCAGCAAAGAACTTCACAAGTTGTTGACGAGCCAAAGGTCTTCGTTGAGATAATATGTAATAAAAAAAAGTATGATTTGGTATTTTTCTTTTGACTGATCTGGAAGAACATATGTCTGATTTCTATTTTTATTTTTTACAGACGAATGTGCAGCTGTAGACCAGATCAAAAACTCGCTAAAACTCTTTGAAAAATGGTCGGTCCTGGAGTCATTTACTCAAGATAAAATAAAGATACTCTATCTGACAGAAGAGTATGATGATAAAGCTAATCTAGAGCCAATAATTGAACGAATTATGTGTTTCAGATAGCCGATCTCTTCTTTAATTTTTTATTTTTGTTAACTAACATAGAAATTTTGTTTTTTGAGGGTTAGTTTTCCAAACAAATCGACCAACTGAAAAGCAATTGTGATCTAAGTTATTCTATGAACTGCCATGAGACGGCTTTTATTTTATTTCCAGAATGAAAATACCTCACCAAATGATGCAAAGCTAGCTTAATCGTTCAAATATTTATCTATAAGCAAAAACGAAATGTCAATGAATTTTTCTACCTATTAAGGGTTTACAAAATTTATGATTTTGGGTTAGTGCACTTGTTATTTTCTCATCAAGATATGTCATGATCCCGAAGATGAGGCCTTAAAGCAATGAAGCATTTTTCGGTCCCTTTTTAAAGATTTCACTCTCTCCATTCAAGGGGAGCCTTGAAAAAATGTAGCTAGTTATCATAACATGTTGACTCGTGATAATGTTCTCAAGTGTTTCCCCAGAAATGAGATCGCATAAGTTTTTTACTTTTCTGATTCACTGTTTTCTTATGCTATCAAAGCATAAACCCAACGATTTTTCACTTTTATAGAAGGTAATTTCTGACCGAAGCAAATTCAGGGAACTGGAACTCTGACTGAAATTTCTATGCCCCTTTCTCTTTAGGGTGTCAAATAAGACTGTAATTTTAACTTATTTTCCGTGACATCTGAAAGCAAATCTTGCAATCTCGCAAATTCTTGATTCTTACTCTGTTAATTAAAACTCGCAGAAATAGTATTGATGAGTTCTTTCATACACAAATGAAATAACTGACGCAACAAGTTTTTTTCGTTCTTTTTATTAGTTACATTTTTCACAGCATTTTTAGGTTCTTTTGTTTAAAAATTTCTTCTTTTTCTTCTTCTCTCATCAGGTGTTTCTTATCTTTTCTCAAACAGTGAAATTACTTTTAAATGGTTTTTTCTTTTCTTTGTGAAAAACATAATTTTTCTCACTTGTATGGAGCGTTCCTAAGCTCTAATAATGTGCCTTATTTATTTATTGCATTCTTTTATATCTTCGAAAGTACTATAGACTATATCTGCAATGTCCTAAGTATGATCAAATTACCCACTCAGAAAGAAGGAAGAAAAGAAGAAAAAAAATTTACACAACTTTTGTATCATGTAGATAGTCAACTGTGTCTGCACAATTTTTTCTCATCATAGAAATGTATCGTAGACTTTAATTTTTTTGGAAGATAAATTTTCTCAGCCCTCCCGCAAAACATACGCATCAGTGTCTTAACCAGAAGCGGAATGTAAAATTTGTGACGAGAAAGGTTGTAAGTAAAATCAGGGCTGTACCAATTTTAAGGGACACAGCCAGCATCAATTTTCTTCTCGATATGTTGAAGCCCGATTTTTAAGCATATTTTATTCACAGCCCTTGATGAGGTTGGAGCATTGATTCATAAATGTATATCCTTAAGTAAAATGTGAAAAAAGCATAAAAAGAACTTGGTCCAAGTTCAATCTTGCTGGATGTTTTCTCCTCTGACAGCGTGTATGCCAGTTGATTCTTCCAGAATCTAACTTCACCAATAAGGTCTTCAATTTTCTAACTTGGTAACATTAACCTCCAGATGATGATCAACTGGACGAGGGAAAATTCAAATATATTCTCTAGAGATCTTTCGGTAATGAAAGTTCTCCAATTTGTTCATTTTACCTCAACTCTGTCTCAGAAATTAATTATTCCCAGTTTACAAGGAGTATTTTTAGTCTTCAACTATGTTGGTAAATTACTGGATCAAGAGTTACGTAGCCTGAGAGTCAGACCATACTTAGGGACAAAATTGTGACACAAGGCTTGACCACTTAAATCTGCCCTGACACCAAAAATGGTTATCTGCCACATATTAGCACACGCTACAACGTGGCAGACGACCGTTATCTGTGCCAGTGTATGTAAGGCTTTTGATTTAAGTGGTCAAAACTTGTGTCATGAGTTTGTCACTGAACATCGTCTGTCTCAAACACTACTAATTGCACACTGGACTAACACTACCTTGGCAACAGTGATGAGCAAGTGAAGATTATTTAACTTCCTGAACAGGTGCACAGACATGAGTGTATGAAGTACATGAATAAGTTGTTAAGATTTTCAGCCAAGTATCGAAAGGAAGCTGAAGAATTTGGTAACTTTTTTATGACAATTACCCTTACTTTTGTTTATCAGTTACCATTATCAGTTTACTCTCAAACTAACTGGAATTAGGAAAAGATGTCGGAACTTTTCTTTATTTTCTGAGCCTGAATTTTGTTGGCAGGTTTGTTGTCGGCCGCAAGTTCAGGAATAAATGTGAACTTTGTTTTTTGATTCCTGATTAATAGTTTCCACTGTTGAGGAACCAAGGGTGGTTCGAGATGCTTGAAGAGAAGCTCAACTTGCCTACAGCTTGAGTTAAGAATATAGTTCTCCCGACCTCAATTCGAATCTTGAGGTTAGGTTTTTGCAACTTGCGGCCGACCGTAGCCAGCAAAATTTGGGGCCTGACCTAAAGATGAAATCATGACAATATCTCCCCCCCTGAACATTGAAAGAACATATTTGCGGAAGATTAATGCAGTATGTTGCTACTGTTTTAAAATGAATTATAATTGTTACTCTATTTTTTGTTACATTAAAATTCATACACAAATTTCTTTTCTCTTTATTTCATTTTCGTATTATTCTCTTATCTTTTTGAGGAAAAATAAGTGAAAAAAATAACACAAATGACTGCTTAAAACCACTGTTAACTTCTCAGAGTCCAATTTCAATTTTTTCTTTTACCTCGATTATTAAAAAGAAAGACAAGTTAAATAATAGAGGTAGTAGTTTATTCATCATAAATTCAATACATAGACGTACATATACAGGTAATATTCCTGAATGAAATAAAAACATAGAATTTAAAGCAGCGTTTAGAAACTGTGAAGTTCAACGTCAGCTACTAAAAAAGCCTGTAATAATGTTGAAAACTCAAAAATCCAGGGCAAAACGAAAATCACACTGAAGGTAGTATCCAAAGATAGCAAGGATGTAAAAATTTTTGAAAATTAGGTCTTATTAGGGCAATTTTTGGTTGTTTGCATAAAATATCTCCTTTTTTCTATACATATAAAGAAAAACTCAGAACTTAGCCCACACATTGCCCTGCTCCATACATGACTGCCATAAGTAATTTCAAAAGCAGGTAGACCTTAGATTTCTTAAGAAAGAAAAATTTTAAAAACTAGTCATTTCTGTTAAATTATGACACTTGCTCTCATGTTTCTGCAGTTCTGTTACTGATGCAGTCTATTAAAATGTGTTTTGAAAAAAAGAAAAATTTAAGAAAAATAGGACAAACTAGATCTCATTCAACAGGAAGGAACCAGCTGGATCACAGCATTTTCAAAATTGTTTAGTTTCTTTTTTGCTTTAAAAAATACTGAATTTGTGTAAGTACATACAGGAATAAAATGTACAGGATTGCTTTCCTTTAAAATTAAATTTTGTAGAAAAACAAAAGCTATTTGCCATTCGAGGCACATTAATAGAAAAAGACAAACATGCGTAATTTTTACAACACTGTAATCGAGCTGGTTCCTCTAATAGAACCTTCCAGCATGCAAGTCAGGCCCTTATGATAGATATCATGATGAAACTACAAACCCGCAAACCCCTATCTAAGATAAGTAGGTACTGCATAATATATTCTGTCACATTTTACTTTTATGACTTATCATGGTCCAAAATATTTTATGTGCAATTTTTTCACGACCCTACAAGATTTTGTGTGATTTCTCTGCACTCCTACTAGATTTTTCCACAACGTTTTTAAAAAAAAACCATGAGGTAGGTCATGCTCTCCCTTAAAAAATTAGCAATTGAGATTTTGAAATGCTGCATTAGAGGAACCCACCCGTTTTTGTACCTAGTTTCACAGTCAATTCTTATGGTTTGACTCAAAGAAGATCAGGTATCTATCTAATCCCAATATAGTCATCAGGACCCATGAGCATGCAATGTGGTCAATTTTTGACATTTTACTTGTTGCTTTCCACTCATCACTGTTTTTTTTTTTTTTTTTTTTTTTTTTTTTAATGATGGATGCGGAAGGTGCCAAAACTTTGCGTATGCCATAACCCCTCCCTCAATCTAACACTCTAACATCTGTCAACAATTCAAATTTTAATCCCCGTCTCTAGATGGGCAAACCTACTTATCCTAAGCAGGCACCTGTGCTTGTCACACCCCCTCCCCTCCATGCGAAACCTTTGCTCACCCACGCCACTAGCATGACCAGTGTTAGCGAGGGATAATTTTCACCGGCCGCACACCAAGTTTGGATTAGAAGCGCTTTAGAGTGGAGGACTCCTAGAAATCATTATAATAAAGCGGGGGAAAAATTGATAAAAGTAATACGTAATGTGCGATGGTGAAGGTAGGAGGGGGGGGGAGGACTTGCGGAAGCGTGATGATGGGGATGGTGGGAGATCGATAATTACTGGATTTCAATATAGATGTCGTTGCTGTAGCAACTACTTCGTTACGGCGGCGTTGATTGGAGGCCTGAAAAATAGTCCCCGGGCCGAATGAATTTTCCCGCCGTGTGTATTGTTCCGCTCGGCGAAGGAAATACGTTGCGAGCCGCCGCTCAGCAAAAGCATTTACCGCCGCGCCGCGCCGCTAACGCATCCCTGTAGTTTCGTATCGCAATTCTGTGAAGCAGTTAGAAGTCGTTTACGAATTCGCTTCGGCTCGAGAACAGTGAACTTACGGTGTTGGTAAAGTGATATTAAACAGGTCGTGAACTCGCTTTGATCATGGAGAAGAGGATAGCTTTGGAAAAACGCGGTCGAGACCCTAGTGAGGTGAGTGTGTGCATTGTAATAAACTGTTGTTTCCTCATTCAACTTTCAACACAAGGTTATGATCTGAAGACTCACTTTGGAGGAAAGTTACTTTCCCTCCGAAGTGCACTTAGACTTTTGAAAGATTTAACCCTCCCTAGTATGTTCCTAGGCCTATAGCTTGTCAAATTTCCATCATGTCACCCCTTAGATCCTGCCTGCAAGAGCCCATCAAAGAGGAGAGACTAAAATCAGCAGGTCTGCTGAAGCAGTCACCCTTTCAAGCTTCACTCCATCCCCTACTTTCAGATTTAAGACTCTACTCAATAAGCCAATTAACTGATTAAAATAGCCAAATGTTCATGCAAGAATTCTGATGTCCAGGGCCCCCCCTCTCAACAATTGGATCTACTTATTTTCATGTCATGGGCCCACTAATTCCATACCTACAATTTTACATTTTCAGCCTATGAAGCCTCCTCCGTCAACTGACTTTCCCCCGTAAACTTTTAGTTCACCAGTCAGGTCAACACAGTCTTGCGTATCGCTGAACTTGCTTAGTAGTTTCAGGTCTCGCACTCTTTTCGATGGAGGATGACCTTACACTTGCGTTCATGACTTGTCACTGACTACTTAGGCTGTCCACTATACATCATCATTAAAAACTATCAATCTGCTTACTTTTCTCTTCAATGGTTTGGTTTCCTGTCCCGAAAGTTCACCCTTCCAGGTCCCGGCTGAAAACTTCAGATCCCAATTTTACTTAGAGTTAATTCAGTCAACCTCATGCCTCATTTCCCAGATACCATGTTAGTAACAATTAGTGCACGTTTTGTAAATCCATCCTGCTCACTTTTCCCATTTATTGCAACCCACATGTTTTCTTTCACACTCCAGTCGGAATTTCAAGTCTGAAAGTCATGCCTGTTGACCACTAGCTCCCCTTTGTTGATTCTACAGGAGGCCATGATAGCTGTTGTTTACAAACCAGCATGATTTTATTCATGCGAAATTCCTTATCCCCGCGTGCATGAACTGTCATTTCCTCTCCTCTCTTTAATTTTCCAGGCGTATCTACGAATTTCGGCTAGTTTCAACTCCCTCTGTTCGTATTTTTTCGTTCCGTGAAGTTCGTTACATTACGTCTCTGATGCAATTGAAGGGGAAACGGTGGCAGCCATGTTAGGTTGATTCTAATACGCACTTACTTTCGTCCTCCAAATTAGAGCACCGACGAGCTCGAATGCATCACCTTTCCACTCAAAGGGCAAGTTCTAGTAGCGGAATATGTCTCGAAACTGTCAGAACTGAACTTAACATCGACTTACTTTAATTTTCGATCGTTTCAAAATGGTTGTCCTCCGCCAGCTTGGACTAGTCTACGGACGTAACACGTAACTCAATCTGTTTTCCCGTCATTTTGCGGGGTCCCCTCGACCAGGACGAGGAACTGCGCGGGAGCGAACCGATGTCCCCAGAAAGTAATCCCTCATTCAAGAGGATAATTTCTTGCCGTTTCGATTTCTGCATAATTTTTCTAGCGGTTTTTGCGCGGAAAAAGTCGAATTTCCGCGAATATCCAACTCGGCTCATGTGGCGGCAAGATTTTAGCGCGTGGAAATCACGTGACTCTAAAGGTTACGAAAGCGCGCCATATTTCAAATTTGCGGCAGTTTCGCACGTTCCGGTTCCCGGCCCTCAACAACCCATGCCCATGGCCCCAGCATGGTTCCTGGAAAAGACGGTGTGGGATAAACCCGAATCTAGGAATTCACTCTAGTCGCTTTGTACTCTCCTTCTTTGATCCATGAAACGGCATCTGACCAAATTTTATTCGCTAATGTGATCCCGCATCGCAAGACAAAAAAAGGAGGGTTATTATTAAGAAAATGGTCCTAGCAGTAACGGCCTTTCAGAAAACTTCGAAAAATTTCGTTTATCCTTCCTGGGAAACTTTTGCAAATTGTTGAAAATCATGACACAAGGAGCCCATTTTGGGTACCTTTTAAATTTAAATTCCGAATAGAAAATGCACGCGAGGGAAACGTTTAAAAAATTATTGAAAGATATGCTGTCTCGAACACAATATTGTTGAATGATGAAGGAATTTTAAAATAAAAAAATCAGAATTTTTCGTAAATTTTACCGAAATACTGTCCAAAATGGGTCTCCCTAAATGTTATTTTTTGAAGCTTTTGAATAGTGATTTTTAACAGATGTTGTTACCGTGTGTACTTATGTTGAAAGACTATTGCAAAAATCTATTCAATCATACTCATAATTCATTGATGTGAGCTAGTTCAACCAAATTTTTTACTTAAGAAAAGAAAATGACCTTTTTGTGCCCTTTGCTTAATTTAAAGTTTTTTGCTCTTCTCATTTTTAATTCTAGTGACGAATAACCGATCTTAAGTACTAATTGAGATATGAAAGGTATACTATTATAACACTCTTCAAATGAAGTCATATGCACAGCTTTTGGTAAAAGGCAGAACATAATTTAATTTGTTAATCATTTATTTTTGCAGATCAAAGAATTGAACTTGGACAACTGTCGGAGCCCCAACATTATTGGTTTGACTGATGAGTTTGTAAATTTAGAAGTTCTTAGTCTTATCAACGTTGGATTGACCAGTCTGAAAGGTTTCCCCGTCCTGCCCAATTTAAAAAAGGTACGTAGCAAAGCACTTGATAATTAACTCGATCAAGCCTAGCTTTCACAATTCTTCAGATTGTGAACTTTGAAGAAAAATCCTTTCAATTTATAAATCTGGTTAATGCTGGGAACTTGATTTTTGTCCATCTAATTTTTTATAGCAATCGAAAAAGCTTATCCCTGCTCACATGCTACAAGATAACTTATAAATATTAAAGCACAGCTGAAGTTGGTAAAATTCTCAAATTTAAGTAGTCCGTGTTAAGTGCTGAAAGAAGAGATTTGAATCACAACCTTTACTTAAGATTATCCTTCTCTTTTCTCATGCTTGGATTCATCTTGATCACTAGATAGAATCATTAATATGTTTTCTCACTACAAAGGTCCTGGCGACAGCAGTTGTGCCGAAAAGCTTTGACCAAAAATTATAATCAATGAAGCAGGTTTTTGGAAGTAAATTATTGCACATTTTTTAGCACTTTGGCTACACACCTACCTCACAAGTTCAATTAAGTACTTTTACCAATTTGTTACAAACTAATGAAAGAAATGCAGCCAAAAGGATGCTGCATTTTTTTGCCATCTTTTGAATTCTTAATTGCTTGAACTCCTAAACAGCCCAAGGTTAGCCAATCTCAGTCGAAGCTCATTTTTCATTGTTGTCTTTTAACAGCTGGAATTGAGTGACAACAGAATTTCAAATGGATTGAACCTTCTTCTCACCAGTCCTAAGTTGACAAACCTCAATCTAAGTGGGAACAAAATCAAAGACTTAGCTACTTTGGAACCTCTCAAAGACTTCGAGCATCTCAAATATCTAGATCTTTTCAACAATGAGGCAACCGGAGTTGACAACTACAGAGAAAAAGTCTTTGCTCTCATTCCAAGCCTTAAATATCTTGATGGGTAAGTCATACTAAAATTCTTTAAGCTTCAGTGCAGGGGTGTACAGAATCCTTGATCTTGCAGGTGTATGGAATTGTGGCCGCAGCAGCTAATTGGCTTTTTTTTTTCTTCTTTTTGAAAAAAAAAAAAATTGTCTAGTGCATGCTAAAATGCTATGTACATACAGAGGATGTCTCAAGTCAGAGTGTACTTTTGATATTTTTGTAAGTATCATAGTATGTCCTGAATAGTGGCAGCAAAGAAGCTGTCTGCTACTGACTGGTGGAAGTTACTGAGTTCAAATCAGGTGCCTTATTGCCATTGAGTGAGGGCAGGTTCTCGATAGTCAAGAAATCAGTAGATTTTTGTGATAAGATTAAAGATTTATTGAAGCATTAACATTGAAAATGTGAGTACCTATATAGTATATTAAACCCTTTGAGGCCTACACATGAGTAAACTCGTGTTGCGACTGCCGGCCAGAGATACCCCTCTAACTCACTCTATGAATGATGTATCAAGTCATACAGCGTATGTTTTCTCTCAGGAAGAATCTGCACTGTAACTTTAAGCTACTGCCGATAGAGTGCTGTGCCCTCTGGAGAAAAAAACCTAGGTCTCAAATTGTTAAAACAGACCAGCTGTAAATTGGACTGGTTTAATCCAGTCCACCAGTTCCCTTCCTGGTTTCTTAGAAAAAACCTTGTAAGCCTCGAGGGAGGGGGATAACATTGCACGAAAACATGATTCTCATTGACTTACGGCTTGATTACAGGTTCGATGTCAAAGAACAAGAAGCAGATGACAGTGAAGCTGAAGATGAGGAAGTCAACGGCAACGATGATGAAGACGACAGTGATGGGGGTGAGGGTGAAGGTAATTCCTCAAGTTTTAATTCAGCTTTATTGCCTATCTAAAGTACAACTACAAAAACGATCATCTTGATGGTGATGTGCAAAATGTTTCCGTTACTGTATGTTTGAAAAGAATAATACTGGACATTTTTAATGAAAATCTCTCCTCTCATTCTTTAAAAACGAAGAAAAAGTTTTTTTCCAGCACGGATTGGTTACGACTGAATGTCGATGCTGCTATCCATGGCTTTGGTAGCTGATGAGACTGAGTTGAATTAAGTGCAGTTAATGTTTTCTTTGGAGATTAGGGTTCTCGCATGCTTCTCCTTCTTACATCGGTGAATCAAATTTTCTGATTGGTTAGAAAGAATACTTTTCTCTCAACGCAATTGTTTAACACTGTATTCCAATTATACTGCTCTATTGCTTGTCCAATGGGTGGAAGCACATTTTAAAATAGCAAATAGTTCGATCATAGATGCACTGTAGATCAGATTTGCAGATCTATGGCTGGGATCTACGAGAGCAACTAATCAGCCTACTGTTGTATTGGAGCATTGGCTCTGCATCATGAGATATTTTTTTTTTCAACATTGAAATTGTTTGTTTTCAGATGAGGAAGGTGTAGATGAAGAAGAATTAGTTGAAGAAGAGGAAGATGAAGATGATGAAGAAATGAGCCTAAATAGAGTTTATGATGAACATTTAGATGTAAGTCTTTCCTTACTATGATCCTTTTAACTCTGTTGTGTATGCTTAAACTCAAAATACAAATTAACTTTGAACACAAAACATTTAATTTCTAAGATTAAAAGAAATGTTGAATAGACAGTGTCTGCTCTACTTCAAAAATATTAAATCGATTTTCAGATGGCTCACTTGGGGGCCATCTATGAATTTTGGATATTTAATTTTTAAAACATTCAATTTTTTTTAGAAACATTGCTTTGTTTTTAAATATTTCACTGACCTGAACAGTGTCAATTTTCATTTTGGTAGCATTCCTGACATTAACAGAGCTTCTAACTTTAAGGATCGCCAGCAACTGATTTTCCACTTCATGCTGATCAGTGTATGAAAAGAGGCTGTGTAGGCAAAATTTTAAGAATCAGAATTTTGTGTCAAGCGCATTTGCATTTTCTCTCTAAATTTTTTATGTTAGGCTTAGAGGCTATCAACTCCAACAGCCACTGGAGTCAATATTTTCCTCTGTTCCGATCCATTCAATATTGAGGTTAATAACATCACCTGACATTTGCCAAACAGGCAATTAGTGAAAATGGAAATTTTTCCTTCTACCTCAACATCAAAAGCATTCTTGAAATGAAAATCATGTAAAGAAAAGGAAATGAAGGATTATCTGTTTGTCTTGAACTTTTAAACAGGACAAAAGTTAGTTTTTTAAAATTTTTGATGTTGTGGGGTTTTATTCGCAGGAGGAAAGTGAAGGTGATGATTATGAAGGTGAGCTAGATGAAGAAGATGATGAAGAAGACGGCATAGAAGAAGAAGAAGATGAAGGAGAAGGTGAAACAGAAGGAGACACGACGCAAAATGATGAAGGTAAGATCAACTGCTATTTTCAAAATGTTGTCGAAATTTAAATTTTGATGACTTCTCAGTGTATGGTGGCTTCTTACCCTGAGGAGCTTGTAATTAATGATGGAAAAAATTCTGAATAGAGAATAATACAATTTGCAGTTTTAACTTTTATAACTTTCAGGCTGGAAGGAGGGAATGGAAAAAATGGACGGATCAAACTAAAATCAGCTTAGCCACATCGGGTTTTTTTATAGTCTCGTCTGGTGTCCCGCCTTCCCCCTTAAATTTTAGGAGTCAAATTAACTTTCTGCATGCGCACCACAGGGCTTGAAATTTACTGCGAAAGGTGCGTTGAGAAAGTTATCACTGCTTAGTGATGGCGAGTGTGAAAAAATCTACAGGGTGTGTCAACTGTCCTAGGCGCCACAATGGCCCAGTCCCCCCCCCCCCCCCCCCCNTTTAGGGGCAAGGCGTTCAGGGAAGGCAGAACTCTGGTCTCACTGTTAACCCTCATATGAGCAAACTAAGAGAGTTTACCAGGCACAAGATGTGCTTACTTAAAGATCATATCATGAGCTTTCCATTTGCTAATTTACAGCAATACTTAGGTCACGAGTTCAAGTAGTCCGTTGGAAATTTTCAGTCCTTTCTCAAGGGAATTTAATAATGTAGAAATTTTCTAAATCCTATGCTAAGCCCTTCAAATGCCTCATCTCAAAATGGCAGTGATATTTCTAACTATTTCTTTCTTATCCTCTTCTTTCTACAGAATCACCAGCAAGAGGCAAAAAGAGAAAGCACGAAGGCGAAGAAGAAGAGCCTAACGCAGAATGAGTCAGTGTCGTGGCTGAATTTTAAATCAGGTTGACCAATGTGTTTATGTATATGTTATACAGATAATTTAATGTAAAGCATGATTCTCGCCCCGAAAAATTGATCAGTTTAGGTAAGCGACAAACCCTAAATTTTATGAATTCCTCTCCCTAGTGTGTATATCTTTATTATTTTTCTCAAGTTTCAGTTCTGTTAGGGATTCCATACGCCTGTAGAGTGTTTTAGTGCCGACTGTGAAAGAAATGCCAGTTGCCAACTTTACAGCCAAGTCAATAAGATGAAATAGAGTTGACATTAATTTGGGTAGTCCAATGAGTACAGCGTATCCCTAATTTGTTTTGAAATGAAGGAATTGAATCTATCATCCAATCGTAATTTGACGAAACTGGTATTTCTGGAGATAATTTGGTTGATTCAGTAAAAACAAAAACTCTCTATTGTGATCTCACTGACCTTAATTGTTAACGAGTAAGCAAATCATTACTTGTTCAAAGGCTCAAATGATTTTTATTTATCTATTTTTTTAACAGGTAATGCCAATTTTTGTATCATTCAATGCTACGAGCCTGTAATCAGATACATGGTTTGCTTGAGGTCACGCCTAAGCAGTCTATTTATTCCTTTGAATCAATGATAGTTAAAAAATAACATTAAAATAAATTAGAATCTTGCACGGTCAAGTCAACACAAAAATAATTGATATTTATATTAATAAATTATATATATTATATATACATGTTGATAGTTATTTGTAAAAGCTTCAAATGTTATTTTCTTGAGATGTAAGTTATCACATTATTTTCTTAAACTGTCTAGATTTTTAGTAAAAAGAGAAAACCTAAAAAAAAAAGAGGACAGATCCCTGTTTTTTTAAAATCTTCATTCAGATGTATACATGTATTGAGTCTTTTATATATGTACATATTTCTGTTGGGTTTGAAAGTCAACACCATTCTTGCAAGTTTTCAGGGTGTCTACAAAGTTACAAATCAGCAAAAATTGGAAAATCCAGGGAAAAATTTTACCCTAAATTGACTTAATCTTCATATGTGTTTATATGGCCATTAGAACAAAGATTTTTCACCTTTCACCAGGGAAATTGAGAACTTCCAAGTCAATTTAAAACAAGTAGCAGAAATTGCTTCTTCACTAATGCACGCTGGTAGATCGTTGTTGAAAACAAAAATAAAATTTGGGGAAACAACGTAATGTGGGTGAGGGAGAAACCCAAAATAGTTGGGTATTTTTTCCTTCAAAGTTCGTAGGCATCCTGGTTCTTATATAGCTAAAGATAATTATAAAAATTTTAGAGTCCTGGCTCGTGATGATTTGTCGAAGCTCAGACTGATCGCTTGCCTTGCAATGAAAGCAGTTTGAAGCCTTGTTAAGTTCCTTCATTTAATTTGTGTATATTTTTCCTCGTCCTTTCGTATTTTGTATGAGCTAAAGAAAATGTCTTAAAAGCTAATCATCTAAAATAAATTTAGTGGTTTCCTCTTTCTTTTTTTTCTTCTTTTTTACAGTAATTTTTTAAATCTATCTTCTTTTAGCAATCTTCACAAACAAATCCGTTAGTCTCTGCTAAGTCCCCCTCAAATAATGTATTCTCTTAAGGAAATACGCTATCTTTTCTTTTCTATTATTTATCTTAATTTTTACGAAGCTGACTGTGTTGTTGAAGATGATTTTGTGTACATTTTGTTGAACTGTGCTGTCAAATCAGTTGTAAAAAGATATTTTATCCTGACTTCTTATTTTTTATTAATTGAAGGATAATGGAAGGAGTGAAATATATTCAAATTAACATGTGAAAGATTTAATTTGTTATTTTTAGAGTGTTGTTTCTCGTTTACTTGAAAACATTGGAATGATGCCTAAACATAAATTTACATTCTAGCCCTCATTTTTCAACTCTTCGCTGTTCCAAAGGACACTAGAATTCAGTAAAATCTCACTGTATCAACTAGAGCCGTTGATGAATTATCTTATTGGGTGCGGCAAGTCAAGGTTTCACCATGTTCAAATATCTTATAATAATAAAATAATTCTGAGTCCTTTTCTAAAAGAGCTTTGCAAGCCCATACCGGAATAAAGCTATGGAACCGTGTTTTGAATTAGTTTTTGTCACCAATTTATACCCATAACTTGATGGTGATGGTTCGCTTATCTGATTAACAGACGGTAAATATTTTTTTTCCATCATAGCCTTGTTCAACTTTTCATTTTTAAGGGTAATCAAAATAGCATTTTCAGTTTTTTGAGGTTGAAAGCTTTCTGCAACTGGAAGTAAAATCAGAGAATTAATTTACAGCAAAGAAAGGGTGCTATAATCTGATTTTTTGCTGTGTTGTTTCTGAAAATAATTATTACTAATGAAGAATTGAGCAGCATGTCAGCAAGCTCTTGCTTGCGCAGAACATTATCATTTCCAAGTGTGTTAATAGGAAGTACAAAGAGAATTGAAATTGCATGATAAAAATCTGTATGTTTTCTACGTTTAGGGTTTTTTTTTTTTTTTTTTTTTTTTTTTTTGTAATCATTATCTTTGAAAGTAGTTTTCTTTTAACACTGTTCAATTAATGTTGATAATTCTCACGAGATCGCTAATGAGCATTTGCTCTTTTCCAATTTGGTAAACTATGTATGCCTTGAACTTTCACCATTTTTAACATCAGTTAAAGGATTATAAGAAATTTGTAATTTTTTTAAGCTCTGTACATAAATCCTATTGCTTTTAACTATTACCATTCTTATCCTGAAATATTTTACGACCCTTTATTTCAACCCTAAAGTATAACTTCTGAAGGCCAAAAAGAAGCTAAACCCTTTTTTTTCTTAGTTCATAATGTTGGGAGTGTTGATTTTAGTGGCCTCTTATTCATTTGAATCTGTTACATTTGCCGACTCTGCTTGCCAATAGGGTCTTACTCTGAAGGTACTGTTGTCGCCAACAAATCAGCCAGTTAAGACAAGCTGTCGAGGTATTTTAAGTAGCTTTGTTTGTCTTCACCATTAGTAGCAATAACAACCGCATCTAGCATTTCTATTTTGTTAGGGTGTCAGTGGGTGGGACCTATTTTATTGCAGAAAAACATGCACAATCTGGTCATGCTGCTACAATTAACTCTTTTATGCATAACAACTAAAACTTATTGTAAGGACACTGTAGAATTGTTGCTACAATGCTTAAGGGACTTCCAATTTCACCTTCCTCTTCTATTCTCGCATTAGTCAGGAGAAAGTAATTTTAGTATCAGTTTTTTGTATTGTGTAGAATTTGCTTCACTTAGCAAAATCAATCTGCTCTGAGCTTTCTACATGTAAGCAGCCACTGAAACATCGAATAATCATCATTAATCAGCCCCTCTCCTCCTCTAATATAAAAGCTGATCAATTATGTTAGACATGTAGCGTTCAATTGTAGTTTATTCATCCAAGCTGTAGCGGAACTTGCGATCAAAATATTGCACAAACTCAGCACTGCGTTTGCATGAGGGATCTATTGCTTTATCAAGACTTTACTTTTTACCGACGCATCCTGTCCTATTCCCGTTATTTTTTATTCCTTCGGGCTGTTGCAAAGTTACTGTTTTCCCTAAAACTAAAAATCTTCCTAGAAAGGCAAACACCAGTTCAACCGCCACTGAAGAACAGCTTACAGTTTTATTTCTGTTGAAAACTTAGTGCTAAAAATTAAGTTTATCTCCTATTTTGACATCCAAAATATTTTACTATACCTTGACTCGTTGCTGGAAGAAAGTTGGTAACTCTCTAAACCTAAACTAGTCCCTGTCGCAATTTTTTTTCCCCTTCCTTGCAAAATGTGACTTTGCCTAGAGTGGCTACTGTCAGAGAAAAACTGCGTTCATAGGAGTGCTTAAATGCTTGTGTTGTGTCTTGTTTCTTCAGCTAATCCATCAACAGGATCTGAGCAGCTTAAAATTATTATTTTTCATCCTGTAATATCCCAAAATTGATCAAGAAACTACAATTTGGAACTTTAACAGCCACTCCCACTTCGCTCCTGTCAGCAAACTATTAACATTGGGCTTGTATGTCTCCAAAGTACCACAAAAATATTTTCGAAGCACCCACTTTTTCCAAAGTGTGCCCATTCTATACTATGCTGCTGCTGCATTCATCCATCAACTCTAACCGACAAAAACAAGTCTTTCAGAGTGAGGTAAGTAAAAAATTCTTGACTCCAAACTCAAACGCAAAACTCAGTCCCTCAAAGGGACCTCGCAATCTGCTTTTATCAGGCCCTGCTGTTGCGTCAAACGAAGGAGGGGTCCTCAAGCTTTGTGTTAGACAGATAACGTTTTATCCAACCAGCGCAAAATGCAGAGTTATAGGAACCAGGAAGGTGAATGAGATTTTGCATCCAATATGTCTTTAAAGCGTCAGATTTTTCCAGGAGGGGGGGGGGTGTTAACCGAAAAGTCTCTTAACTTTTCACTCTCTCTGCGGGGTGAGTTGGGTTTTTTTTGTCAACGAAGTGATAATGATTAATGGTCAATGATCAGACTGATGGCCCATTAACTTTTTATCTCCACGTAACTGCCAGAAAACTCCTCGGGAAACCCCATGACAAGCAGGGCGCACATAGAGCCCGTCTCATCGTGGTGCCACGGCGCCAGATGTACGGCACACATGTACGTAATCAGCGCAAGTCAAGCATACGCCTGTTATTTATGGGTAGATTAATCGAGAAAAAAATTGGATGAATTTTTGGGGATTTAAAAAGGTCTTGGCGCAAGATTTGTACCCAGAAAGAATATTAATTTGCGTCCTTCAGCCACATCCGACAACCCTGGAGTAATCAACAATTATTCACTGATACGTACTGTGACGTCATGTCATTTACAGTTGGTTTTTTTTTCAATCCAATGAAGGAACTAAAACGGTTTTGTAACATTTTATTATTAGCTAATCAATTACATCAAAAATTATGATTTTAAAACTAAAATTCTAAGTTGAAATACATTTTTATACAGTTTCAAAATCAAAAACCATTTTTTTGTGGTGAAAATGAAAGTGAACAATTTCAGTTGCTCATTTGACTTCACCACTTAATCCTCTTTCCAAGCCTTGCCAGACAGAAAACAGTATATAAAGACGTAAATCCGCTCAGTTTTCCGGCTTCTTTGAAGTCCGCTGTAGGGTCGTCTTGCAGTCGTGTAGTTTTTCTGATCAAAGATTCTATTCCGTTATCATGACTTTGAGTCAAACAAGCGTGGTGAGTTGTTTCTTCAGCTACTAGAAAGTTAAAGCCAAGAACTTAAGAGGATTTTGCGATTTTCCCTGTCACCTTGTGTGCAACAGCTAGCCACCATATGCCAACTAAGCATGATTTTACCCGAATTGATTGAATGTCTTTGAACTCCTCTCGCCCTACATGAAGATTTGAACTTCACAACTTCACTTGTTCTTTTTTTACTCACTTTCAAGATCCACGTGATCGCTCCTTCCTTTTCTGAACCCAAATGTACGTCTTTTTTTACCGGAACTACCTAACCTCAATTTTTAACCTCATTTTCTTCAACCCATCCCCTACCTCTCAGCTTGTGGTATTTTTATTTCTGAATTTTAAGTCAAAGCCTACATGACACTCCACACACAGTGCACCGATTATTTCTGTGGAGCTCTGAGTATGTCTCCAACCACTGCTTTCTTTAATCTCTTGATCACTATCAAACAATTACTCCCAGGACTAATCAAGATTCACACTAACTTAGTCTCCATCTAAATCCGAATGACTAAACTTGCGTAACGTCTACTCCTTTTGGTCAGGTGCCTGGGAAGAATCTATGATACAATGAACAGACCTCTGGTTGGGGTACTCTCTTTACTTCATGGACCAATTTCATTAGTAGTTCATCCAAGAAACTGAAATATTTTGGAATGTATGAGGTTCCATGAATGCTGTCCTCAACTTCCTCTGATACTGTGTCCGAAACTCTGAATATGAGAGGACCCTATTAAATACTGTCTCTGTCAGTGCTCTAGTTTTTTCCCCAGAGAATGATGATGGATTCTAATTTAATCTAGTTCAGGTTTATGTAGAAGGAGAAGCACTGTCACTGTCTCTCAGATTTTCCTAGCTACTGGTTGAAATTCCTTTAAACAATGAATCACAAGCTTATCAGACTATGACTTTTACTCAGGTCTCGGTACCCCATCGGTAAAACACCATTCTCGATAATTGTATAATTTCAGTAGGAGGTAGCCTTTCGATCAAAGCCTTCGGCATGGGCCCTTCTAAATTTGTGGCTGTGGATTCATTTCATCGCTGATTAACTCACTTGCTCCCATCATGCCCCTCTCTTAAAATCTAGCCCCTGTTTAAATCCAATTTTAGGTGTTGAGATGTATTTTCTCAGGTATTTCAATTGATGAATAGCTTCAGGTTCAACTTCAGCCGAGCAAACCAAGATGAACATTTCTGTGGTTTCACTATACTTATATAGCACCTATTCAGTGTATTGCAAGAATTATTCTGATGGCAAAGTCAGATTTAGAAGCTCTTACAAGAATCCAAACCAGTCTTAGAATGACAAGCCCTGTTTCTGCAGCTACCTATAGATCTTGCAATGCCACATGCGATTCATTTATCTTTGGAGAAGCGAACATTATTTTGTGAGGTTGTTCCGTAGTTTTCTCTGTCAAACTTACCATGTCTTGTATTTGATCTATTTCTTAATCTATTTTTACAATTTAACAGTTAAAACTGTACACCAGTGTGATAGAAGATGTAATTTCTGGAGTAAGGGATGCTTTTGTTGATGATGGAATCGATGAACAAGTTTTACAAGAATTGAAACAAATCTGGGAAACTAAACTCGTCTCAAGCAAAGCTGTCGAGTTAAACCCTGACCCAGAACCGCAGCCTCCTCCGCAGACCTCAACGATTAAAACAGAAGTCACACGCAATGTAGCACCCCAACCAAAGCCAGGTAAGCATCCAATTGAGTCATGATCTAAATAGTTTCATGTAAAGTCGAGGTGCAACCTAACATTAAAATTTTCGAGCCTAGTGCATTATTTTTGAGGAATTACAAAATGGAAGAGACTGACCACAGAATATCATCCCGATCACATGATTAGGTTCAAGAAGAAATTCACAATTTGCAAAGAAGAAAAAAAGCTTTCAATTGTCTGTTGAGGTTTTGCCTTTGAAGGTGCATTTATTAAGACAGAACACTTTTCCAGAATAAGAAGTGTCCCCAAAATGAACCCCAACACCTTCAAGAAGCAATGTTATGCTAACGGTCATGGGTCCATTCTTTGTTTTAGAATCGCTCATGAATTATTTTTGCAGCCTTTTTTCAGCATGAGTTATTTTTGGGAGGACTAGAATATCTTCTAACCATTCTAATAATAACAGCTCTGAGCCCTCCTCCCTCAAAAATATAGTATTGAATTGAACACTAGAAAACGAGGAATTGTCAGGATTTATCAAGGATTGAAAAATACTCTGGGAAAAAAGAAGTGCCTCTTTCTCTCCCCTCTTAGACCATACTCGACATTTTGTATTAGCTAGGCTTCACTGAATCAGGCATGAGATGGAAACCATTATTTCCCTCCCAAACTAATTCCTTTAAAAATTAGCTTTTCCATGAAAATTGGGATGAATGCGAGGGGAAACTTCAAAATTTCATCGGGGAGTTTTCTTTTGAATGATCCTCAATGAAAATTGAGGAATGAAAAAGTATCAAGAATTTTAGGCATCTTGCCCTAAAGTGTATCTCAGGTTACACCCTACCTCATCTGTGGTCCCTTTTCAGCCAAAGTTTGTAAGAAAGGAAATATTGTAGGATTCTAATGCTGAATCATCAATTAAAAGGCCTGCCTGCATGTCCATTACAGGAAATCATGTTGTAGTCGATCAGAGTCAGCAGCAGCAACCACTATCACAACCAGGTTCTATGTCACAAACACAATTTCTTGGAGGCACTATGCAGCAAGCGGGCGTGGTTCAGCAGACTTCTCAGCAACCTGTGCAGCCCCAGCAGCAACAACAGTCTGCTTCCCAAGTAGACCTCACCAATAAATTGATACCTCTCCAAATCACTGTTCCTACACAGGGAGGTTCTAGGATTCTCACTATTGAAGTACCTGCCTCTGCCCTCCAAGGTAATTTCAGTATCTCTACGAACAGTCGCGGTTCCTTAAATTTTCCAGCCTTCTACACCCAAAGGTGCACGGGCGCTGAATCTGTTTTTCTGCAGCAATTTCTTAGGACCAGGCCATTATGTCCTTAAAATCATGGTTCCCTAAGCCTCTATTTGTAAAGATCTTCTTTTGTTGGAGTCGCCACACTTGATGACCTTTTTGCCAAAAAAGTTCCTTAACTGTTCCTACACACCTTCTCAAGTGGCAAAGAGGATCTGAATTAAATTGATGACAATTTATAAAGTTTGTATCTAATTCTTGTTAATTTTTGCACCTGCTGTTTTTACTTGTACCTTGTACTTACTTCCTGGTTTTTAATTCATATCTCACTGAAAAATTGCACAAGAAGTCTGAAACTTTGTAAAAACATTCTTTAAGGTTTGAGACTTTAAAAAAAGCTCTATAAGTAAAAATGTTAGATGTAGATGTCCGTCACAGTTAAAAATATGGCCTCATTTACAAATATTGTTGTAAATTTGATTTAAATGTGGATTGCTTTTCATTGTTTTGATAGAAGATTGATTGCTTTCCATTGTTTTAACAGATAATATGTTAGCACAAATTTTAACTGGTCCAGTCATATCAACGACAATCTCTCTGCCTCCTCATTTAGCGTCCTCAGTTCTGCAGCAGCATGTCAACGCCGTTCTTCAAGGACAAGCAGCTTCAGGTACCTATTTCCCTTCTAATATCTTTCATCTGGAAAGTTTCTAATCAACTCTCTCCCCAAAAATTGTTTGAAAAATGGCATAAGTACCCACTCTTAATTGTAGGCTATTGTAACAAAATTATGTTGAAAATTGTTAATCATTACATTTTTCCATTTTCTTTTGAAACTAAATTTAATTTTAAAATCAGTTAAAATGTAATATAATTACGGTACTGTAGTATTAAGTTCATATTGAACTCCATGCTCACCTTATGATTCTTGGCTGTTCATCAAGTCTGAGATCTTGGACTTTCTGCTCACTTTAATGAGAAATGATTTATTTAAAAAATCTAAATGAGCACAGCATCCAAAATCGTGGGGTGCAGATATTCTCTGACACTTGACAAGCATCAAGTCCAAAAATGTATCAAGACGAATTGGTGAAGTAAAGGTGAAAACAATTTGTTCTTGTGAAGCACTCATTGCAATTTTTGACCACGTGAAATCAGGAAATTGTTGCTAGTCATCAGAAAGTGTTAACAGTGGCTTTATCGAGACTTCTGGCAACCAAAGAAATATTTTTCCTGTTTTAATGGTGTAACAAGTCGATGCATTTTTCATCAAATTGTGTATACATGAAAGATGTCACACTAGGGTGTGTCAAAAAAAATGAAAGTCTGAAATGTTCCGCTCCCCAGGCGGCAATCGATGACGTTTGGTAAAAAAACTTGTTTGCCAGAATTTGGGCCAATTTCAACCATTTTAAATGGTGCCAAAGGTCAATTTTGTGATGAAATTATGATATTTTGGTTTAGACCTTGATTTCGCACAAAAAACTCGATTTTACGCTGAAATCGTGCGTTTGCGAGAAAAATGCCAAAGAACTCGACTTGTAGAGGATGAAATTTTACACTAGGAAGACGTCTTGTAACCGATAAAAATCAAATTGAACTAGAAAAACTCAACTCGGTATTTATTTTTTTGGTCCTCAGAATTTCCGAGGTCTTAGAAAGTAGAGGTGTAAAAGACTCATTTTTCACGAAAATAAGTCGAAAGAGGGTGTAAATGAACTGTAGGTAAGTGTTGAGGATGCAAATGTCATCAGAACTTCCTCAGTTTCAAAAAAAGTTCTAACTATTTTGCACAATCCTCCAAAAAGTGCACGGCTCGAGAAGCAGGATCGTGCTATGATAGTAGGGGGAAAGAGCGGTTTGACCGGGAAAAATTGCGTAACAAACTTCCCCAATGTAATCGTCATCAGTAGGTCCCCCTGAACAACTTCCTAAAAGTTAAAAATGGCCCGACCCCGGAATACCCCTCAAAAAAGTTAAAATTGAAAATGGCGGCCGTAATAAGAGGGTCCGGGAAATCGGTATTTTAAAATGCTCATTCTGTCTCATCATGTGAGGTATCATTTCCTATGTAATTTTGGTCGCAGATTTCATAAATGAATTCCACAAGGCCCTCCGGCCAAAGGGGGCGCTCTAAATCAAAGGTGGCGGCCAAATGTGAAAGGCAGGAGGTTGCATTTTTTTTTAAATATTCACCGAAGGAACAAGGAAAGTGAATTGTCTTTATTTTCATGTATTTATGGCCAAGAAACTTAAATTTGATGTTATAAATGTATTTAATAAAGAAAAATAAAGGAAACATACGACTACCGAGAGAAACGTAAGCTTAGAAGGGGCCTTGCGGAATTCATTTATGAAATCTGCGACCAAAATTACATAGGAAATGATACCTCACATGATGAGACAGAATGAGCATTTTAAAATACCGATTTCCCGGACCCTCTTATTACGGCCGCCATTTTCAATTTTAACTTTTTTGAGGGGTATTCCGGGGTCGGGCCATTTTTAACTTTTAGGAAGTTGTTCAGGGGGACCTACTGATGACGATTACATTGGGGAAGTTTGTTACGCAATTTTTCCCGGTCAAACCGCTCTTTCCCCCTACTATCATAGCACGATCCTGCTTCTCGAGCCGTGCACTTTTTGGAGGATTGTGCAAAATAGTTGGAACTTTTTTTGAAACTGAGGAAGTTCTGATGACATTTGCATCCTCAACACTTACCTACAGTTCATTTACACCCTCTTTCGACTTATTTTCGTGAAAAATGAGTCTTTTACACCTCTACTTTCTAAGACCTCGGAAATTCTGAGGACCAAAAAAATAAATACCGAGTTGAGTTTTTCTAGTTCAATTTGATTTTTATCGGTTACAAGACGTCTTCCTAGTGTAAAATTTCATCCTCTACAAGTCGAGTTCTTTGGCATTTTTCTCGTAAACGCACGATTTCAGCGTAAAATCGAGTTTTTTGTGCGAAATCGAGGTCTAAACCAAAATATCATAATGTCATTACAAAATTGACCTTTGGCACCATTTAAAATGGTTGAAATTGGCCCAAATTTTGGCAAACATTTTTTTTTACCAAACGTCATCGATTGCCGCCTGGGGAGCGGAACATTTCAGACTTTCATTTTTTTTGACGCACCCTAATGTCACACACACGGTCCAACTGCACATTCAAGCTGAGAGCATGTGTGCATGGACTCGACAGGCAGCAATGAACCAATTTCCATATTTTTCGCAACTGTCAATCTGACTGTGTGTGTGTGAGTCCATGGCTTCAGCTGAAACTATACCCAGCTGTTAATTTTGATCGTCAATATTTGATCCAAATTGCTCATTTTATTATTCACTCTGTTTCAGGTATAGTGCAATTATCCCAAAATGCTTTAGCGCAAGCAGGTCTCACGAATGGATCTGATAGTGGAACAGCTACAAGATCAAATTTTCAGCAGGCAAGTAATGCCATATTAAATTCTTGATAATGCACTTCAATTTATGAAGTATGTATCACGTGGTTATTGTTTTTGGCAGCAATTACTGTGACAAAGATGTGAAATACATCCTTGAGTGTATGGTAGGATTTTTGTCGACGTTCTTCCCTAACTCCTTTGAAATCTGTGATTGGAACTGCTACGTTGGTGTTTGCCGTAACAAGACAATGGAGTGGACTGCGGCCCTCTTATGCTCCTCTGCATGAGGATAAGAAAAGATGTAGCCCTATTTGAGCTGTTTAATATACTTACAAATCGATCTTTGATGCTTTGTCAAGCTGACAGGAATTGCATCAATCAGACTGCAAGGACCATTCGGAAAGATAAATTCTGGGTTCATTCGTTGTCCTTTTCCACCTTTCCTTGAAAGCCTTGCAGTAAAATCCGTCTTAACAATGCCTCTATACCTGTTAAAGGTGGATGGTGCGAATGATACATCGGATGACGATGAAGATGGTGATGATGATGTAGATGATGATGATGACGATGACCTAGAAGATAAAGACGATGAAGAGGGTGATGATGAAGGAGGTGCCGAAGAAGAACCTCTCAACTCTGGTGATGATGTTAGCGAAGAAGACCCAAATGAATTATTCGATACGGATAATGTAGTTGTCTGCCAATATGATAAGGTAAGTTCGATATACTGTTGAAGTCTCCAATAAGTGAAGGAGTCAGATGTTTTTATCAAAAAATTGAGGCAGGTTTTTTAAATCGAACTTTTATTGTGGTTTTCAAACTCTCCAGTCACTCTAAAGCTGTTTTATTTTAATTATAGGCTGCTATAAGAAGAAATGATTTAGGTAGTGGGTTTTTTTTGCAAGATTTACAATTTTTAAGCTACGCTTGGAGACAATCCTTTTAGCTGAACAGGTTCAGTAGCTTGAAATGTTCAGGGACTTTTTTTCATGGTTAGGAAAATTTTTGTTTCATTTACACAGAAACTGCATCTTGTTATTGGCAACCACAGTTCGCATTGTCAGACCTTCAAGATCTTATTGCTTGCAATTATTAGCACAGTATGACGAGTAATAAAATTTAGCCTTTATTTTATGAATTAAAGTCCATGTATTGCATTTGGACTAAAGTCAGGATATTCCAGAAAAAGTTAAGATTCTTTATTAGAAGAGGTCTCATAAAAATTGAAAGTGGAATATTTTAGTGAAAATGCTGAATATTTTAATTTTAGTTTATTTCCATGAGAGATTAAACTTGAGCAGAAGTTCAAGTTATTTCTACCTCAAAGTTCCAGCCACACATATTCACCTTGGCATTAAAGGCAAGCCTCTATACCCAAAATCCTTCTCTCTCTCTCTTTTTATATCTATTATTGAAATTGTTTTTTTCTGAAATCCTTATTCTTTTTCTTGTGAAAACCCACAGACAGAGAACAATCAAGCATGAGATAAACAATTCAGTCTTTCACATCGTATTTATTAATATTTTCTGCTCTTCCAAATTCCCCAGCCATTCAAACACCCTGTTAAATTTTACTGTTAAGCCTTTGATAGTACAGTAATCTGACGTACATCTTTATTTCTCCACAGATTTCTAGAAGTAGGAACAAATGGAAGTTTCAGTTCAAAGATGGAATTATGAACTTATCAGGCAAAGACTATGTTTTCCAACGAGCCAATGGAGACGCTGAATGGTGATGTCAGTATTTTCTCCGATTTCTTCAGCTTTCTTGCACAACGTGCCTCCTTTTATCTGTTGGCTAGCACTTTCCAACATTACCCAGTGAAAACCATCAATACTGTAAGTGTTGTCTTGTCAACATCGTAGCAACCTCCATGTTTTTACTGGATGAAGATTTACTCCCAGATATCTTACTACAAGCTGATAAAAAAAATGTCTTCTATTCTGCAGGAACTTCAATCCTCTCATTTTTTTTTTTATTTTTTTTTTAACTATTGCGCTTCTTGTCAGAAGCAGATACAAACAGGGTATCTCAAAAGTTGTAATTAAATGATGAATTTATTTTCTCCCCAGTGTCATGAAAGACTGCGGGACTTTCACATGCGAAGGTTAAGATGGATTGACAGCTCTGATAAAAATTAGTCTATAGTCAACCAATTGATAATTTCTTAATTGTGTGGTATTTTTTTTTTCAAAAATACTTGCAATTCAAATCATTTTGTAGCATCTCAGGTGTTGATTTACAAAATTTATTTGAGAAATTGTTCAACGTAACTTCAGAACTCAGGTACATACAAGTTAATATTGCCACCCAGCTAGTCTTTCAATTTGCTCTTTTTACTCAAACTAAAGTTTCAAGATTATTTCAAATGGTACAATGATTGAATGCAAATTAATATCAGATGCACTTTAGAATGATTTGACTCCTGGGAATTTTTAAAAAATACCCTAGAACTGAGAATTCTCCAATATTTTTTAATGGTGGCGTTCTAAAGTACCTGCAATCCCTTATAGATTAAAGAAATTGTAGCTGAAATTGCCTATATTTCTCTATAGGCGAATGAAAAATTTCAACTCACAACTGAAAATACTTCTTTGGGAACCTACCTCAGATTAGAATGAGATATTTTCAAGATTCATGAGACTTTATTTTCTGATTCTCAGTTTCTTTCTAATTTGTATGGTAGGTTTTTGTATTACCGTTCAAACTTGTCAATGAAATGTTCAGAGGATAGTTATCATTTTCTTTATTTTTTTCATTAAAAAGAATTTGTACTTACTTGGTGAAATACAAAGCAATTTTTGGAATCCAAAAATGCCAGCAACCCAAAGTTAGAAAGATTCCACTAAAGTCAAAAGGTCATCACTATAATTGGTGAAAATGAGAGTTACCAATTTTTTATTTTAATTTTTAATTTTTTTTATTAAAGAAAAAAAGGAAATTAAAATTGAAATGTGTGAGATCACTTCCATGACTGTCCGCAAATAATGCGCAATATAACTCACACTTAAGCACTTAGAACCAGTGATTGCCTGCCTCTGCATCACCCAAAAACTGATCATAAACATTGTACTTATTAGATGTAGTTTCCATGAGAAAGAAACTGATAATAGCCAAAGCTTTGACACAATTGAATCGTAATTGAAAATACGCCATCTCCATTTTTCTGAAACTCTGTTCTCGAATATCAAGCTCGACTGTTTGGCTGGTACAGAAAAGTAATTCCAGGCTCTAAATCCATCTTCTCTGTTGAAATGAGTGACTTAGAATTCCAAAAATTTAACCAGATCAGTTGTTAAGGCTGTTTCGGTAAAAAATAAAATAACAAGTTTTTAAACTACACGATCAATGTATTGCTATCCATGGTTCAATTATAAAAAATATAATCCAAGGGTGCGAAGAGTTCTAAAATTTCAACCGTTTCTCATGATTGGGTGTTGCTGCCTCGTGACAAAATTAGTGAGTCGCAGACTATACCAGGCCTGAAGGGGCGAAACACTTCTGGGAGTCTCAACAATTGGCGTACACTAAAGTGTACTGTTTTAAAAGTTTTTACAAGTTTTTCACAAAATTAGTGACTTTCCTCACATTTGGCACCTAAAAACCCTCATATCTTCAAGAGAATTCCGTCTTGAGGTTATGATTTTTCCTCAGATCCCTAAATCTGTTTGCAGATGGCTAGATTGGGGATTTTTCATACATAATGTCAACTATGCTCCTAGCTAATTATGGCATTAGCCAGAAATACAGTTGCACTATCTTCTCAACCATGCCTCTGGCTGGTTTCAAAATCAGCCATGAATATTTTTGAAAATGGACGCATTTGTATGGACTACGTGTATAGGGTTTGCGAGCCCTGTAGCTCCTTTTAATTTTATTCATTTGCCCATAGCTTTGTTTCACTCAAATACGTCCAAATGGTCATTCTTTTCGTTCTGTGTCCCCTTGATTCTTAAAATCAATATTATTGCTGTTTTCAGTGTTTTTACCATAATTATTTACAAAGTGTCAAAATACTGAACTAAACAGGCTGACTTTTTTCTCCACAAATTTATCTCGCAGGTGTTTGTTACCAGCAGAGGTTTTTAATCCAAGTTCTTGTGGGACAAACTACTTTATCCCAGAATATGTAATCTCAAGATCTATGTTTTACACTCATGTTAGTTATGTGCATTTAAGTTTTTTAAAGCAGTGTATTCATACTTAAAGTTACAGGCTCTTCTATGATCAAGGTTTTTGAGTTCACTTGATTTGATTCTCGACCTGAATTTTTTTTTTAAACACCCCTCTCATGATGTTAATCAAGAGATAAATTCATCTGCAGTGAATGAAGATGGGCTGGAATGTGCCAGTTAAGTGAAGACGAAACGCAAGTCAAATCGACAATACCCACTTTTTTTTTACATTCATATAAAATTCTCAAAACTAAAGAAAATACTCATTCAAAATCCAGGAGAAGTTTTCAAATAAGAAAATTTGCTGTCGGCCTATTTGATGGTTGTGATAATTCTTCCCTTACCTCTTTGCTCATAAATTAAAATCAAGTGAAAAAAGTTTAAGAAGTCGAAGTATTAGGGAAAATATCCTTTAGTGAGCAAGTAGGTCCTAAATTTAATTACATCTTTGTGGTAGAGAAAGTCTAACGCTGAAATATAATGGCAATAGACCTTAAATCAAGACTCAAGTCACTTTTGGTGGAAAAATTTGCCGCTTATGGAATCACTTTCACTGTGTCATCTTTATAAACTAGTTCAAATGTCAAGTGAATATAAACAAGATTTGAAATTTTAGTGAAAGATTGCGTGAGACAAAATACATAAGCTGGTCATAGAAATATTCATCAGTTTTTATTAATTTAATGACACCGTGAAACATTACGGTGTTCCGTGGAAATGCTCTTGAAGACTCCTTGTGGAATCCAATTGCAGTTGGCATCGGCATTTTAACATAATTGATTCAACATGCTCTGGTTGAAGTTTTCCGTTAGCTATAGTCTCTTATTGGCTCCTGCCACTTGAGGTGGCTCACTCTCAGGCAGTCCAATGTAAATTGGAAGTTGCATTCGGAATGCTTCTTTCAACATTTAGTGTTATATTCTCTCCAACTAAGTACAGGTTGAACAACGCCTTTAATTTGTCCATGAACTCGTACAACACTACTTACGATCAATGAGAAAGGGAATTGTAAACACGTTTTAGGAGTAATTGGCTTCATCATGAACATGGTGTTGCGTCTTAATTTTCTGATATCCCTCTCCAAGTGATCATGAAAATCTTGCGGAAATTAGGCAAATGGTGACGAAGGCCGACGAACGGACTCATCATTTAGTGACCAGTGCCCTAAGTAGCATGGCTTATTAAGCCTGTGATTTATGAAACATTATTTTTGTTGTATTCTATCCAAGACTTTAACGGGAGGCTCCTAACCTTCCAAAACTCTTTGTAAGTAACATGTCATAATCGGCCTACAGTTCATCACTTTTTGTTTTCTTTCCTTCATCGGAAGCTGTTGAACAATTATTTTATGATCATCTGTTAATTATTCATCTTGATTTAACGATTTTCTCTCAGAATGGGTTACTGGATAAGATCTGAAATAAAAAGAAACGTTGCATGTTTTCTCCTTAAAATCTTACGTAATGAATGATTCCCGCATCAGGGAGTTCAGGAATGAACTCTTGAACGAGGTATGAACAAGCATTCTTAACGCGGATCAAATGGAAGTTAGATAATACTAATGATGGAATTTGTATTTCTTCCATTTAAACACTGTTTAGTACAAACACTTAAATCTTATTCAGGAGTTGATTTCCAGATTTCCCATCGTGCGATTCATTTTTATTTTGAAATTTTGAAGAGAGAACATTCCTAATTTCATTCAGGCCTTGTTTAGAGACCCATTTTGAGTTTTACAATGGCCAGTTATTTTGTTAAAAACAAAATATACAAGGCAGTTTTGATTAATTAAAATACAGAGAGTTCTGTATAAATATATTGCTGTAATAATTGTAAAATGCACTAGGTACTATTAAGGAAAAAATTTGTGTTCTATGATTTTTTGTCCCCCTCTCTAACAAAAAACTTGGAAATTTTTTCAATGACGAAGTCAGTCGACTCTGTAACCGCAGAATAACTTAAATAAATGCAACCTAGAATGTAATGAAGGGTTCTTGCAACTCAACTAATTACTTGATACTCGATAATTATTAGTATGATTCAATTTACATCATAAACGGTCCTTAACCATTTTCTAAAGAGTTTTCACATTTTTTAGAAGGTCATGCTATGTTTGTCCTTTTCTTCCCATCATTAAAATTGGTTGTGTTGTATTTATTGTGTAAATAAACTTTGTTAGTTTTCAGTCGGTTTTAATTCATGTGTTTTCTTGATGTATTTCTTCTTTTTTGGAGCTTCATATCAAATGGGATGTATTAAAAAAGCGTAGTACCATTTCAGCTATTGAGAGGTCTTAAATGGTCTCAGGTGTACATAAGTCATTTTGCTAGGGGAGACTTTGCCCCCCCCCCCACCATGAGGGGGTGTGGGGGTTATGGGATGGAAGAAGAATTTCCCAGTTTCTAAAACAGATTTCCTGATTTTACCTTAATGATTCCTGGATTTTCCCGATTTAGACACTGTGTTATGGTCCCAGGAGTTCAGTGGAGCTGGAAAATTTGCTCAGTTTTGCTCTTCGGAGATATTTGCACTTTTCTGCCTCAAAAATCGATCCATTTTCATTACGATGCAAAATCGACTAGTAACAAAATTGTGACAATTAAAATTAAGTCTTTAGGGTCCTCAACCCCATGGGCCTATGGACGCGCAAAAGTAAATACAGGAGTTCAGAAGAGAGGTTAGTCTTTAAACATTAGTAGAAGAGAATCCTGGTTTCTGGAACAAATTCTCGGATTTTTCCCTAAAATTTTTCAATCCCTAATAAATCCTGGTTTCCCCGGCCCATACACTAACCATGCACCACACCTTGTGCCCACTACGGCCATACACTATGTCCTAAGCCAAGAAACGGGTGTTTTTTTCCAATTTTAATTTTTTTTTTTTTTTTTGCGATTATTCGCTGCTTATGCGTTCCAGTGGACTCAAGGAGTTTTTGGACCGGCCAATTGGAATCCTTTGGTCATTTGACTGGGATGATATCATTGTAATCCCTTTTAAGACTCCCTCTAAGAAGCTTCAGCACTGCTGTCTTTTTCAGGCTCATAAAAATTGTATCTTTTGTAATGCAAAGTATGGTAAACATCACCTTAGACCTTCCTTAACCAAAATGTGAACTGTGTGGGGCCGCTGTACGGAACAACTATAAACAAGGACTAAGTCCCAATCGATGAAATCTATCAAATGTCAAATGAAAAAAAAGAGATCTCTCGAACTTCACCGTTTGAATAATACTTTCATTTCTTAAGTATGTTGCAAATGCCACACTATCTCCTTCTGTCTCTCAGCTATTTTGAAGCAAGTAAATATACTGATCGGTCCGTTATGAAGTTTAAGCCTAGGCTGTCAAATCTACCTGTGCACAGAATTATCCAATTCCCTTAAACCTATAGTTTGCAGGAATAATAAAGGGCTCATAAGAAAGTTAGACATGATAATCATTATCAGAATGATATTTGTTGAAATGCTTACAAACTATGTACAAATAAATATCCAAATAAAATAAAATATGAGTAAATTTAACAAACAAAAAGAAGGGGAAGCAAAAAATAGTTGCATTCAAGGTTAAGTTCATAATCTAGGAAAGAGCAGCACAAATCTGAAGGGGACAAACGGCATGATTCAATTAATACCTCAAAGTGAACAACCATTAAAGGCCGTCTCTCAAGTACTTGCTTTAATATAATTTAATGCCTCTTTACAGAGAGATGGGAGAAAGGTAACAAACCTCTACTTACAAGTCCTTTTAAATCATTCAGTGTTTATTTAACTTGTGACATTTTTTTTTTTTTTAAAAAAAGTAGCGAACTAAAAACAGGCTCAATCTTTCCACTGCAGTTCTCTGGACAATTCCTAAGCAGGCGTCATGCCATTTTAGTACTTGACAAATTCCAATAATACCGATTTCTGCTCTTCTCATTTTTGACAAATTGTTACGCCATTTTGAAAATTTGTAAGAAAGACAACCTCTCTGATACATTTGGTTGTTCAAATAAATAGGATTAAAAAAGAATTAATTAGTGGATTTAATTTTTAAAGATTTTATGATTCAACTTAAACCGTAGCGATTTCCGGTCCCAAAAAAAAAATAAAAATAAAAAAAAAATAACCCTTAGGGAGAGCATATCAATCGAACCAAATTCTAAATACTAACCCATCACTGATAGCTGGGTATAATATACCAATTTTAAAGATTAAAGTATAAATCAACAGAGGTTTAATTACTGAAGTCCAAGTTGAAAGTGAATAAAATTGCTTTATTAACAGTGAAATAAGAAAATTTATAAGAGCTTTGGAATAGTTTGGAGACATAATTTAAGTGTGATTCTTGTCACTCTCAAAAGAACGGACCAATTTATATTCTAAAAAAATACTAAGATTCCCCAATTATGACAAAAAGTGACAAGGAAGCAAATTAGTAATTATAAGGGCAAATGTTTGTCCCAACAAAAAAGTTTTTTAAAAACTTCATGAGGAGGGTGGAGCAGTGAAAAATGTTGGTGCTTAAGTATATTAAATGAACAACATTCTTACAAGTTTAATGGTGATGTGCTTGCAAGAGCTTCAAAACATACAGTGTCCTCAGTGTTTTCTCTTCGTTTTTTTAATAGACACAAAACAATGACACATCCAACATGATTGTTTTCCTTTAATGGATATACATGTTGCCAGGAAATGCGCAATTCCTTTGAGGGAAAGATTAGTTTTTCAAACTTCATCATCAATTAATTACTAAATGCCAGAGAAGACTGTAAAATCTTACTCTCTTGTATTCTTTCCTTGAAATTCTGCAGAGAAATACCCAGCATATAAGGATTTGAATATACCAACATTCAGAGACTTACAATGTTATTACTTCAACATCCATTTTTCAAATCAGAAAATTTTGATTCAATAAGATTTCTTTGAGTACACTTATTCAGAGGGAAAATCTTTGAACCTGAAATTTAATAAACGAGTGGGATACATTTAAGTCTTGGATAACATATTTTGTAGGCAGAAATGCTTGAAAGCAAAAAGGTTGAAGTGTACAATGATCTTAAATAATGCTATTATTTCTTCTTCGTGTGAGACAAAGAAAATTATGATGAAACATTGAAAACCACTAATGTATAAATTAGAGTTTGACAAAGGTGGCAAGCATTATTATAAGATTACTTTGTCATACAATTTAAAGTATTTATGTGAAACAAAGGAAAATACTGAATTGCTCAGAGTCAAAAAAAATATGTAATCACAAAAACAGAAAAAGAGGAAGAGTAACTATAAGCCTGTTTTACACATCTTCGATCAAACTAAGAACCAATTTTTCATGTTTCTACGTCTTTTTTCAGAAAGGACTAAACTTTTGCCAATATGGCACACTTCTGGGAAAGACTCAATGCTCATTTGCAAACGGGAGCTTACTAAACTTAAATGACATAACTGATATAAAATTTTAACCTTCAGAATAACACAAGTTGAAGTTTTATTTAGAACCTTAATCGAATAAGTTGATATTAGTTTAAATTCTATTTGAAAGCCACTGTAATACCACTGGCCAAAATGGATCGAGGATTGACTGAGGGCAACAATGTTGCTGTGAGAAGATAATATGGTCTGTACTGCCTAAGCAGTCTGAATGGTCCAGAAAAGTCAAAAGTAAACAAATGCAAACTTATATGACATGAGCCCTTCCTGGAATCAAATCTTTTAGATTCTTACATTTTTGCATCATGCTCACAGTGCAATTTGCTTTTAACCTCCAGTAAGATCAATGAAATTCGCAATTTACTCTTTCTTCACAAATCAATAAATGACTAGATTTATGGACACTACCTATATTACCTGTGAACATGATGCTCTTAATAAATTTTTAGTCTTTTATAGTAAGTTTAACCGATTGATGGTTGTTTTAAGAAAGAAGGGCCGATTCACCCCTAAATTTTGCAGAGCACTTGATAGAAAGGAGTCAAGTCTATTGTCATGTGACAGTCAGAATTTGGCCAACATTTTGCGGAGGGGAATAAATACATTTGGACCGCAAGGAAATAAAAAGCAGGGGAGGGGTGGGGGTATGGTCTTGATTTTTACTCTGGTTTCAGTTTTTGAAATACATAGGCTGTCCCAAAACAACTGAGAGTAAGTCTGTATTTTAGAAACAATAAAAGATATTGAAACGGGGTTTGTGGGAGGTCGTAGCTCATATCCTTAGCTATCTAACGAGCCCAAGATTTGCTATTTTGGTCAAAATTTCGCTGAGTTACAGCAATTTTTTGGAGCCGTGTAAAATATAACCCTACAGGATTTTTGAGTATTTTTTTCCTTGTCTGAACTGTTGTTCCGAGATCGCAACTTTGCGGATCACGTTGGCACTGGTCTAGATGCAAGTTCTAACATGTTTGCATTTGCTTTCATTGCATATCAGAGTTTTCTTCAACTTCCCGGCTCAGTGAAGCCAACATTGTCTAGCGTTAATGACACGTGTTCTCGTTTGGTGCAATGAGTTCGCCCGCGGAGCTGAAACAAGAGCAACGCTATGCCATCCGTTACTGTGTCTACCAAGGTTTAACTGTCTCTGATACCGTGAAAGAGATATTAGTTGCTTATGGGAGAAAATCGACTTGGGGAGAGCACCATTTATCGGTGGCATGCAGCTTTTTCCGAGGGTCGCGAGTCGGCAGCTTTGATTCCGCATGGCGGCCGGCCGTCAACTTCTGCGGCGGAGGAAGAAAGTGTCATTAACGCTGGACAATGTTGGCTTCCCTGAGCCGGGAAGTTGAAGAAAACTCTGATATGCAATGAAAGCACATGCAAACATGTTAGAACTTGCATCTAGACCAGTGCCAACGTGATCCGCAAAGTTGCGATCTCGGAACAACAGTTCAGACAAGGAAAAAAATACTCAAAAATCCTGTAGGGTTATATTTTACACGGCTCCAAAAAATTGCTGTAACTCAGCGAAATTTTGACCAAAATAGCAAATCTTGGGCTCGTTAGATAGCTAAGGATATGAGCTACAACCTCCCACAAACCGCGTTTCAATAACTATTATTGTTTTTGAAATACAGACTTACTCTCAGTTGTTTTGGGACAGCCTATGTACATGATGAGGAAAAAAGGAAGAGGAGGCCTTAAAAGCAAAAAACTGCTCTCCATTGTTTATGGACGGCTTGGAGTTATGACTATTTGAGGTTCTGTAGAGTCCACGACAAATAAGATATCGCACTTTCAGACTGCCACAGAAGACCCGCAGTCTCGATTCTCCCATTTACTTTACATGAAAAAGTGACGTCAGACAATCTTATGGTTGCAGTCTAGAAGTGGGTTAACTTATTTGGCGTTGACTTTAACATCGCATCAATACGTCTAATTTAAACTTTAAGAATGTCGGAACTTGAGAGATTGTAAAATGATTAATGGAGCAAAAGATATAGAACACGCGCAAGAAACAGTAAAATGTCTTTTTAGAGAGGACTTTTCAATTAAATGGAATTTGACATTTCTCAAAACTCCTGAAGATAGTAAGGGAGACTTTATCTCTTATGTTTTTATCACAGACATTAACATGGCGATCGAATCGAGCTTCTCTTCAAATTGTTGAGAGACCTTTTTACATTTGTTAATTATAAAATATACAAAAGAGAAAGAATGGTATCAAGTTCTTTAGAGAATGCTTTGCCAATGAACTACAATGGTTGACACCAACAAATCGGTTACAGGTATTATAGTGGGTGTATCCAATATGTCGGTTTTAAAAAAAATTGAAATGCCCAAAACCACCTATCAACAAGACACTTCTACCCAAGTTTAGCTGCTAATTACACAACACTGATTCTCTGCTCATCAGGTCAAGTCTTTTGACCTGGACATGGACAAGTCCATTAGATATAAGGGAATTAAATAAAAAAAGGTCAAATCTTAAAAAGAAAAAAAGGAAAAGAAGATGTGTCCTTCCTCAGTGATTTAAGATATTACGTTTGGAACTGAAAAGAAAAAATTACAAATCAATATAAAGTACCTATTGTATTTTCCCAGAATTATTACAAACTGTATGGAAAGAGGTATTCAGGGTGTCTTACAGACTTGAAGGAAAAAAATTCTCTGACTTAGTTCCATTGGTTATATCAAAATGGCAATAATTCCTGGACTTTTTCTATCGATGGTCTATCGATAAGCATATTAAAGGGAGCTGTAATTGCTGTTGACCTCAAAGTTTTTCTTTAGTTATAATTTTCCTAACTTTGCTCCAATTGATAATGTTAAAACATGTAAGATCCTAAAAACAGGAACAGCTGAGAAAAAATAAAAAAATCCTTGTCTTTTTCATTGAATTCCTTGGCATTTTTTGGTAAAATGTTTGGCCTCATTAACTGGCCCTGAAGACCCCTGAAATTGGTTACAATGCATATGATATAAACTCAAAATCAACCTTCCAAAACGATACCACATAAAAAAACATGACGAACCACTTGCAGGATCAAACTAGAGCACATAGTAAAATGGAAACTCTTCTAGAAAGTAGAAAGGATAATCAACTGAACTTTCTTTTAAATTGTTCTAGACTGTTTTTTTTTTTCTTTTTTTGAGGTTTTAAGTTTCTTTTCACCTCCTTCCACTTCAAACAACACCTTCAGTTTGAGAAAGGGAAAGGATTGACCTGTGAGCTTCTTTGGTATGGCGAGGTGAGGTAATCTACGCATTCTTACAGCACGAGAAGTGAGTATGCGAACAATAATAAAATAGCAAATACTTTACAGTAAAGATACAAATTGTTTGGCAAAACTAAAGTAACCTGCTTGAAGCAATAAAAAAATAACTAGGAACTCACGATACCTCTTAGGAATCATTTCTTTGCATACTCATATACGATTCATTCCTATGTGTTTGAACGATAACTACAAAGAATTCGAAAAAATGGTAAAAATCAAAATAGAAACCGTCAAATTTTTAAAAAAAAAAAATTAACGTAGCACTAACAGCTGCAGTTATGAAGTAAAATCTTAGAATTTTTAGACCAAAATTTGAAAAGAATCGAAAAAATGTGGAATAGATACATTCTCGTCTAGGAAATGAGATCACTTGAGTGTTACAATGGATGAAATTTATCGAGTTGATCTTAATTTCCAGATTTGAATACGATTCAATACTGGGCAATTTTTTATTGTGTTTTTTCCATTTTTTAAAAGTACAGGGAACATCTGATGTAAACTGATGTTTAATGTTTCACCTCAAGAATGTGGACTCCCTTTTTTTGACAATAAAGATATTTTGGAAATATTAAACTTTGCTGATTGAGGGACATCTTGATCTAATAGGTGACCATACTGCCTGGTTTTCAAATTTTGGCTGACTTCTGAAGACTTCACTCTACAACTAATTTCTTAGCGAATGACTATAAGAACTAAGAAAATATAGCGTTGAGATAATTTATAGAATAAGTTACGAGGCGAAGTAGGTGTAAGAACAATTTTGACAAGGTGACACTTAGAAAAGACGTGCTCTTCTTTTGAGCTCATTGCGTCGCCACTGCGGGAGTCTGTAAAATTCTGTCCGTGTGCATTGAAATAGAGTTTCAAATTCTGATTCTGAGAGATGCCGCTGTAAAGGAAAAGAAAGTCAACTATTAATAAAATTATACAGGATGAAAAAAAAGAAGAAAATAAATATTCCCTGGAGCAGATATAACTTTAACATTTTCTTGAAGTAAGGCAAACGCACATATTTACAAAACATGGAAAACTGACGGTGAAATTTGTAATAGTTAATATATAAATGATAAGAACTGTTAAGAAAATATGTAACGCTGAATTTTGATTTTTTTTTACAACCCCCTCCCCCCCCATATCTCATAATACTTTTGTGACGCAGGTTCCTATCCTGTAACACTCACAAAATACATGACGATCTCCTCAAAAATTGAACAGCCCTGGAGGGTTACGTATTTTATAAACGATCCTATACAATATTCATTTTATGAGACATTATTCGAAAATCAGCACAGAACTGAACTTGTAAAATAAAAGCCATAAAAACTAAAAAGGTGAGTTCCAGACGCACTAATCTTGGTAATCTTGTAACTGTTTTTGCAGTTTCCTGCTTTATTGTTGATCATTTATAAAATCAACAGTTTGTAACACAATTGGTAGCAAGTTGAGAGGCGTGAGAAACTTGCAAGGATGATAGATATTGCTCTAAGGTAGAGTCATCTCTTGAATATGGGTGTAACCTGAGGTTAAAATATGCGATGATCAAGTGCTCTCTCTACTCAGCGGAAATAATTTAAGACCGACTTCCGTAAACAAAGGACCACCATGGCAGTTAACGTGTTACCCAATGTATTATAAAATCCAGAAACGGTTGAGATAGTACTACTTACTTCAAGATTGCACCTATCAACATCGGCTGGGAGACGGTAATTGGTGATGAGAAGGAGATGGTAGGGATAGATTTTGGGTGGTTCCGAGTGAGAGTGAGACGGAGCTATCATATTCGGTAACGATCTTCGCATATGTGGACTGTATGATGCAGCGTAACGAAGAGATCCTGCATAGGTCATTGATACTGGCAACTCATTATTCTGGTAAGAAAAAAGAAAGAAAAATTTGGTAAAACACAGTTCAACAGAAATTCATCACTGGAGGACTGGATAAAAGTTTTTCTGTATGATCAGTCGGTAGTCTCTAAAATAAATATTGTAGTTACAGTGAATGAAGTAACTTATACGTAGTAAATGAAATTATTTCTTTGATACCAACCCAACACAATTCTAGAAGATGCAGAAAATAATTTGAAAGATGTAAATATCGAATTGTGTCGTGCAAAAACCGCTAATGTCCATTTTTCCGGTCTTGAGTTTTTTTGGTTGATAATACTTTTCAGGGTTAGATGCAATCATGAAGGTGGTATTAATACTCATTTTGGGGGTTAAATTTGCACCATTTTCATGATTGTATCAGCTCTGAAAAGTATTATGAATTAGAAAAAAATTGAGAGCTGACAAAATGGACAACAGCGATTTTTGCGCGACTTGATTCAATAGTGGAATTAAAACTTACAGTTTATCAGTCTCTTGCTGAGAAATAAAATTTTGGTGAACTCTCCTAACCCAGAACTGTGGCATTGAATTCTAATTTTGACCAATCAGCTTATCATTTGATTTGATACAGACCAGTCTAAAATTAGTCTATAAAAATGTAAAAATCAGTGACTTTGAATACTGAATCCTTAACTTATTTCCTGAGACCAAAAATTAGCATTCATTACAGGCTTTTCGAGAGAACACAGAGAAAATTCAAAAGAAACTCAGTTTATAATGTTGCTTAATCCCTACGAAAATCATGAAAATCTCAAAATCGTATTTAAAAGGGTCCCCCTCTCATGAATGTTTGATGTGAATTTTCTCTTGGTACTTACCATTAAACCTCGATCCACTTCGGACATTGAGCCAGCAGAAACTGAAATTGAAAAGAGTAAACAATAAGAAACAAGAACTCTAGTTCAGAATTAAAACTTAAATATTTTTCAGAGGAAACTTTTGGAAACCAAGGGATAAAGCTCCGGCTAAATTTTGTTATTATTGGATATAATGTTCTCCTCGACCTCCTGAACTTTTTAATTTTGGTAGGTTGTGACTTATTCTCTGGGTACTTCAAAAATGATGTGAACAATCATTGGAGAATTTGATGATGATTAAACTTGAGAAAGAAAATTGGGGGAGAAAGGGGGGGGCTAGCCAAAAAACTGAAATGGCTTTGATGTGTGATGCAATTTTGCACCACATCAATTACAAATTTGTATCCGATCAATGGTCAAGGAAGCTCCTTGCATTTCTTCCCTTTTTAATTTTTTTTATTTTTGATAGAAAAAACAAAAATTGACTGACAATGAGTCAGGCTACCCTTCAATGACCTTTTCAAAGTTCAACTTCAGGGAGCAAATGTGTGTAATCAGATAAAATATTTTATTGACTGTCAGAATAAAAGTATAAAATTAAGAAGTTGAAACTTACTGTCCGATTTTCCACTACTGAAATCGGTGCTATGGGTTTTCTCGCCCAGACCACTTAGAGAAAAGTCCGCCTGCAAACAAAATTGTACACATAAGTAACAAAAAGAGCAGAAATTAATTTACATTTTCTCATTGGCTGAGTGAAAGTCCAGGGCATAGACTAGTTCTCTGACTTTTCAAAGTTATCTCTGACCGGAATAACGAAATGGTTCACCAAGTTTCGTTGGAAAAAAGGAACACTTCTGATATTAAATTTTAAAACCAGCAGGAGTCATAGGCACTCCGAACGGTAGGGGTAAAAGGGGGGTTCGGGGTGCTTTCCCCAGACAATTTTCGAAATTGTATAGCATCTAATATGCAGTTTACGGCAATTTTGTCAAGTATAATTATTAAATATAAGCATCCTTCCTTCTTCCTTTTTATATTCCTTCCTTCCTCCTCATTTATACAGGCAAAGAGGGAGAGCGTACGCCCCTCCCTCTTGGCTCCGCTTATGGCAGGAGTTTCTCTTGACGAAGTTATGATTTACCAAAACATACCAACAACAGTTATCGGACCACAAAAGAAGGAGAAGTAGGAGTCTTTTCTTGGCATGATTGTAATTATTCCAATTTTTTGATGCTAAAGATATCCTTGAAATTGTTTACTGATAAAAAAGAGGGTTGAATAATTTCCAAAATATGAACATAAACATTTTGGACAGTATTGTGGTTGTACTTTATAAGATCTTTATTGTGGTTTAATGGCTCTGATTCCTTCACCAAAATAAGAAAACCATTAGAATGTTAGGCGCACAATTTTATTTTTTCAAAATTTTCTACATACAACCTATGAACCCTAGGTTTGATGAAGGGGGCTAACACATTTTATTCATACCATTCATACTTTTAAGCGGCCAACCTTGTCAAAAAATTTCACAGAAATAATCGAAAATGCTACATCAAAAATGGCTATCTGGCTTTGAATTGAACGAAATTAGACATACGTCTGACTTAGCTCGAAAAAATGTTTTATGTTATTGTGATCCATTTCAAAGGTACAGATGCCAGTGAAAAGCTCAACATAATCTAGGATTAGAAGAGAGAAAATATCCTTTGAATCATGCTGCCATATACCAGTAAAGAAAAAAGTTTGCAAAATAACTTGAAAAATGGACTTGTACACTTAGTAGCATTCTCAAAAACAAATGTCATCCCTGACGCTGGATAGAATCATTAAGAGAAACAACCATTAACCCCATAGAACTTGAGACCATTAGAACCACACTTTCACAAAGCCCATAAACCTAATTGTACATTTTCAACTGGTAATTGGCTTATTTCAACCATAAACATGACATGGAAATGACACAGAGCGGGACATTTACAAGAGGAGGGAGAGTTGGATCGATGTTTTACGATAGGATCATCCTGAACATCATAACATTTGATTCTTTGCGCAGGACTTTCAATTAATGGGCAAGAATCTTATTTCCTAAATGAAATTATGTAACTTCTTAAGCTTGGATTGTTGTGTGACACTTGACTAAACCCTTTCACTTCTCCACTCTTGAAAAAAAACTGCGATGAAGTTCTACACTCCACAGATGGGCTATGAAACTAAAAAAAGCCCTTTAACAATAATATCATGCTAACTAAAACTGCCTTAGCATTTGATTGTGTACATTAAACTTGGGAAAACTACCAATACATACTCTCATAATCAGGATGGCAGTAGAGAACCTGATAATTCAAGTGCAACAGTTTCAGTCAACAGCAAATCTGTCAAAAATTGCAAGAATAGCTCCAGCTTTGCTTACTCAATTTGAAGTGCAATAACATGTGAAAATGAAAAAAACTTACAGCAGTGGTACTGCCAACTGTTGAGCTAAACGTATGCGATCTAGGCGCTAGCGTATACCCAGGTTTCGGTGCACTTCGTAAAGCAGAAACCACTGGATAGAGAACAAAACAAAGTGGAAAATAAAGATTAATGTTTGGGAAAAAAACTTACCGGGGGCTGCGAATAGGCAGGCAAGGTGGATGCTTTGGGACGAGCAAAACCGCAAGAGTAGGAGCTAGGGTACTCAAAGTGGTTATTCACTGCTAGGTTAAACAGCAATGGAGGAAACAAACGGAAAAGAAAAACAGAAAAACAAATAAAGCCAACAGAAAAAAAATGCAAAATCAAAACACAAATAATAAAGAGACATGAAAAACATGCAAAGTAAAAAAGAAAGAAAACTCGGAAAAGATAAGCTCAAGAAACAGCAGCAGAACCATAATGAAATTTTTGCATGATTGATTTCAGAATAAAAAATGAAGATTTCCTGAGTTTTATACTCAATGATTTGCTGCAATGCATAAAAAAATTGCAATTTTTATTGCTAGTGCATTTGCTTCAAAACGTTTACTGTCACAAGTTAAAGCTGTAATTTTCTGGAATTTTGGTCTCAACAGCAGTCTTACAAGATGAAGGTATATGAATTTAAGGTCCTCTTCTGCTGTTGATAAGGAAGCAAGCCAGCTCTCTAGATCGTGAAATTTTCTTCTTATTTTGCCAGGCTGTATCAAATCATTGTGGAGTGACTCTATGAAAGTCTGTTAATCTTTGTTCATGACAAAACTGATTTCATTGCTTATCTAGTCAAGGATCAGTGCAATTTCAACCTATCAATTGAACGGTAACATAATCGAATAAAAAGTTTGTTCACAATAAGGATACAGCTTACATGAAAATTAGAATATTTCTGAGATTCAAAGCTTATCCAATTACTAACAAAAATATCTTTGAAATACACTTTATTTTCAGTCTTGAGCTAGAAGCATGAATAAATGGTCTTCCACAACAGGGCAAAATCCATTCGAGGTGTTATCAAGTCATTTAAGGACCTAATTGGCTAAAAGTTGAGTTAGCAGCTGTGCATGGATACATAGCGATTGAGTGAGTTAAACAGAAACTGCTTGTACAGAGATTTTGCAGAAAATATTGTAGATTAAAAGATTTTAAAATTTAATCTTGCTTGCAAAAAAAACTAATTATCAGATGAGCAACTAGGTAAAGCCCTTGACTGATTTATTCTGCATTAGTTCCGTCCAGAATGATCTATTGCTGTCGTAAAACGATTGATTTAAGGATATTGCCTTACGTACTCTGCCCTGTTTAAGGGCTGCATAAGGATTGGCACTTAAAGATATCATTAAGGGGACTCCACTTTAATTCAAACACTGGCTAAAATAGTCACTGAAACTGTGATGTCGACCAGGAAATGCATGAGAGCAACATTGCAGCAATCAATATTTCATTAACCAAAAAACCAACAAAAAAATTTTAAAACAGAAAAAATGGTGAGTCTCAAAGAAAATCTGCTTAAAAGAAGAAAAAATCTTACATAAAATGAGAGACACAGAAACGGAAAAAAGTGCAATGAACAAAATGAGGGAAAATGATATTGAAGAGCGTTTTTTTAAAATGGCTTTGAGATTATGGAATTTTGTAAGATATAAGATAGGACTTCTACACGAATGAATTTCAATATTCAGTTGCTCTTAAACTTTTCAATTGCATATTCCAGATGAATTTGCAGTGGTGTTTTATAGACTTAGCAGCCACTAGAGGTGTCATCAGCTAAGTTGACGGTTGTTTACTTTCGGTTTGCAAGCGTTTTTGCCTCACTACTATCCATGTGAAAATATCAGACTCTCGCAGAAGCAAGAACACAAGCTTAGATAAGTTTTTTAATACTTCCACACCTTGTAACACTTTAATTTTTAGTCACACAGAAATCACAACCACATAAAAGTCGAGAATCATAATTGATAAGTAGTTTTTTACAATACAATCATGAGACGGATGTTTTCAAGGTGGATGGTAGCGAAAGCTGCTTTGCGCAGAGGCCCGAATTCATCATTGGCGCTTGCAAACCAAAAGTAAACAACTGTCATCTTAGCTGACGACACCTCCGACATGAATACATCTGGCATCTTTCATATTTTTTTGTTTCTTTTCAGTAAAGGGTATGATTAAAGTCGAAGAGATCGACTCCAAACATTTGACGCCAGTCATATAATTAAGTGTGTCTCTTGATTTACTTCTCTTTTCACTTCTCAGGAGGCCATTTACTCACAAACTCATAAAATTAGAACTTGTCCTTTCTCACAATCAGTCAAAAAAGTGTAATTGCCCCAACATTGATAGGTTTCCATGATCACATGTTTTATTTTTAAGGGCAGGTGCTTTTACACAAAAATTTGATAGATTTTTCTTCTGGCTAGATGCAAAAATAGATGAAATTTTGGATGGATATTGCTGAATTGTTTTCTTGTAAAAAATTGAATTGTCTGAAGTTTACAATTCTTGAATGGAGTTAAATTTGTTTTGTCTGGAAAATGACAAATTATGTGCAATTGAAAAGATTCCATAGAAAGTTATCATGCAATTCCATGGTACTGAATGCAATAACAAATATTACACTGTAGCCTAATTATCAGAATTGAATATTGAACTATTGGATGTAACTGGATATCAAATTTTCCGGCACGTCGCTGTATGATTGAAGCAATGATTTGAAAAAAAAAAAAAAAAGGTATTTCTAGATTTAATTAAAAACCACTTCAAATAAACAGATAGGTAGAGATAGAAATGAGAATTGCATAAACCTTACACAGAAAGATATTAGAGAAATTTATCATCATTGCATGTCATTATCACTAATTCAATGGCAAGGCACTTCTACTGCTTATATTTTAAAAATCGCCATCATCAGAAAACTGATGTGACCCATTCAAGGAAGCGACTGCACTTTACTTTTTACTTGACAAATAAGACGAAACAGCAGAAATATCTTTACTGGTGAATATTTCCCCTAATTTTTCATTGAAATGAAAAAATAGAGGAGGCACATTCTCAGACTTAGGTTGAGAAAATAGTTGAACTTGACAAGATTTTTTAAAAGAATATCGAGTATATCAACGGTGAAACTGCAAAAAAGTATACCTCAGTTTGCAATGCAGCAGACTTCCGATCATAATTTTTTGTCAAAATTAAATAATTCTCAATATCATCTTGAAAATTTACCATATCCTTCTTCTCTACATGAAGAATATTTTATGGAAATTTGAAGCAATATTATTGATCTGTTCTTCTTGGATAGAAAAAAAAAAAGAGAGAGAAGATTTTAAAACATCGCAAAGGAGATACGCACTTTTGATGTTTCACCATCGTAATCTAATGAAGAATTGATAGTTGTACGAAATTGTAATGAAGCTAGACCCTTATATTTTCATGAAATGATGTATATGACTCGAAAGATTTAGAGAGGGTTTCGGACACATCAAGACTTCGTGCTCATTTGGACTGATATTCAGATGCACATCCCTTTTGAGTTGAAAGTAGGCCCTTGATTACACTTTTTCATGGCAAATGTAGCAACGGAGAGATAGGGTAAATTACATTGAAAGGTAAATAAAATGAACTTACCATTATAATTTGGAATAGCACCAGTTGAGCGACCTACAGATGACCTATAGCTTGAGCTCCGATCTAACAATTCCTCTTCCTCCCAGGGTCTAGGATGATCTAAATTTCGTGAGGGTGCTGAAATCGGGCAAAACATGGTTAAGTCAAAAATAATGTGAGAGCTAAAATCGAAAATAGGGAATTCTACAAATTCATAACTTCAAAAATTTTGATGTCATGTAACTTCACATCTGAACAAAAAAAAAGTTCATAATTCATAACATACAACTTGCAGAAAATCTAATCAGTTCGCACAGATCTTGATGATTTGTCATCTAGAATTTACTTATTACTAAAAGATTTAAAAATTTTTTATGACTATAATAAAGTCAATCTACAATGTTCTAGGTTGTAGATTGACTTTATTTTGTGACAATGAACTCCAACCATTGCAATTTTGATGCAATTGTGCAACTCCTAAGCTCCTGATAAAGTTACTAAGAGCGAATCTATAAATGAAATTCACTTGGTCATTTCCTCATTTCATTGATACGTTTTTGGTGTACAAAAAGAAACTATTCAAATTTTCAGGTTTCCGTCTTGCAACATTATAGAAATTGTACAATTTGGGCAGCATTGTGATGCTGGTAGTTCCTTATGACAAAATGTAGTCCAAATATGAGACTTCAATACATCAAAATAAATGGAAAATCAAACAGAGTAAAAAATCTGTGTTTGAATTGTTGGTGAATTCATCCAAGATATACTTACAGGCATTAATAGGCGATTGGAATCTTAAACGATAAGCTGGTTCTTTGGCTGCTGATGGACAGCGTGATGCTTTCCGGGGATCGAGATGGCTCTGTCTCCATTGCCGTAGTTTTTCCCGTTCCCTGACTTGTTGAAGAAACACTTTACCAATGCCTGTTCCTACTTTATTGATTAATTCTTCCTCTTCTTTCTGAAAAATATCAAGGACATGAAGGAGGCACCATTAATATTAAAAGCAAAAGAGTGGAGAGATTTCTGTCCTTGTAAAACTTCTTGGACAGTCACTGAAAATTTTGGGCTAGACTGGTGTGTAACTTACAAGCTCAATTTTTATGTTTCCATTCGGAATGCCTTGAAAAAAAAGTACTGGAATAGAAAAAACTTTGTTCGAGAGAAAAAAAAAACACTAATGATAAGGCTCGAATACTGTAAATAACAGGATCATCGAATATGGCTAGCTGAAAGTAAATCAACGCCATAAAACACCAATGAGAGTTTTCACTCCTTGCACATGGACGTTATGAAGCAAAAAAGATTTCTCAACTTTAGGTTTGAAAAACATTTATCATTATGTTTGAATGGAAGTTGGTTGAGAATGAGTCACTGAATGAGTGAGCAAATAATTAATTTAACACCTTCAATAGGTCATAAGCATTAAGAGGAAAGTAGAAAGGAAGATAACTTTCGCATTTTTAACAATGCAACTTTACAGTTTTCACCACTGCATTTCTCTCCCAGTATTCCAGCTTAGTTTTGTTGGAAATTAAGACAAATAATCGCAGAATTTTTCATTTGCATTTTTGCACATTGACCTTCCTTCATCCAGGATTATTGTGCAGATAAAAGTACAGGTTGTTAAAATTCATGAAATACTAAATAATAAAGCTATCAGTGGTAAAATTTGGCAGCCTGCCAAATCCTGATGCTTGCAGATCAATGGGCTGATCAAACATACGCTGGACTGAAGCTCAGACCAAGAGAGTAACTTGGGTATTTATTTAAAGGTATTGAGTAGCCTGATTGCGTATTGAACACCCTGACAAATCACCAATTAATTTGTTTTCGAGAAGCTTCATTGACTGGTGAATTAGATGAACCCCATTTGGTTGATGTAATCCTGTTTTAGTTTTTCTGTTTTGATTGTGGAATGTTGCAATTAGAAATTCACGTACCTTAGAGGTATCCACATGATTTTGTACTGACTTATCGACTGTATCTCCTTCTTCATCATCAGAAACTGGCACACCTTTGTAGCTGTCGGACCATCGCCGCCTTCGTTCTAGACAATACATTTAATTCACTTTAGTTCCTCCATAATATACAAATCAAACAGAGCTTAAAATGAAATAAACCTGAGATCTTGAAATTTTGGAATAAATGACACGAATATACATATTGATGCATCAATGACGTACATCAAAAAATGTAAATGGATCAATAGCAATTCGAAGAGGTCCTAACTTTTTCCCACATTGGTTCGAACATTTAGCCAATTTTCTTGTTGGGATTCAAGAGAACAAATAAAAATGAAGCAACCACAATGTTCAATTTTAGAGAGAAAAATAATACTCCCTTAAAAGAGAAAAAGGAACAAGTATGTAATTGAGTCATAATTACGTGAAGTGAATCAAGACATTGTTTAGTGTTGATACACTTCTTTTAGATTTGTAACTTTTCCAGCTTTCGACCAGCTAGTTTTTTTTTTAAAAAAAAAATTGATCTAAAAAAAGTGGATGATTTTACTTTAAAGTTTGATGACAAACTTTTGGAGATAAACTTCCAGACCTTAAAAATTTAATTTGCTTAAAGGAAAGAAAAAAAAGAGAACCCCCAAATTGAATTTGAAAATGCATGAAAGCGAATATGTTCAATAAGTATTGATAGAATGTTTGATTTCAGTATGATAAGGATGAATAATGTAAATTAATTTAATTTCTTTTAGGAAACTACTGAGGAGGCGGCCATTTGCATTTCATCACATACTCATAGGATTTACCTGGATCTGTGTAAGGATAAGGAGGTGCTGGGAAATCGTCACGTTCAATTTTTGGTTTTTCATCAGGTTTTGGTGGTTTGGCAGCGGGGAAATGTGCTAATCCAATAGGCTCTTCATTGTTCATGTGAGGTGATCGTGGTCGCGGTGTCTCACTCCGAATACTTTCAACTAAAGCTTTCATTCCCGATCTACTTGTTGCCGATTTTAAGGTTGATGACCTACTGCCTCTCATTGAATGAGCCGCTGTAAAATTTAGAGGAAAGAAAAATTAATTATAGACACATGAAAATCAAGTATTAGTTGTTCTTAAAATACAGTATTAGCCTACATCACTTCCAATAGTAGGTAGACAATCCAGGGCAGCCGCAAGATTTTCCCAAAATGAATAAAACAGAAGATTAAACTTGATGAAAAAAATAAGAGTTTGTGAAACATGATATCTTGCAATCATCCATTAAAAAGTATTAGAAATGCTACTTCTTTTAATTTCAACTTCATTGAATTAATTAAAGGTATTTTCATTGGTGCTTAAAATGACTGTCCTTCAGTTACCAGATTAATTACTGATCCTAGGTGTCTGTTCATGAAAATAAATAATAAGGCAATAGGTTGAATACTGAAAAATGATACTACATTTTTTTCAGGAAAAATAGACCATTTTTGGCACTATGCAGGGATGACTCAGCTGGGTACATGCTAATGATAGCAAAAGTAGCTTTTTAGTAGATAACTTACATGCTGGCCGATGGAAGTGTGGTGATGTGGGTGGCTTATCATAGGGCTCGATTGGTCGCCGTAAGTAACCTTGCGCTGGTTCTTCAGTCAAATAACTATACGTGTAAATGCGACTGATATCTTCTGCATATTGTGGTGTTTTATATTCTCTAAGCAATAAACCTGGACTCCCAGCTCGAGGATGGAACTAAAAATAAAATTATTTAAATTAATGCACAGGAGAAAATAAATCAGAATCAATGGCTCACCTTTAAAACCACATATCGACGGTGTAAAATGGCGATCACATAACTCGGTTTGCGATGACGCAGACTTCCTGTCATACTTATTTTTTAAATGGAAAACTACTCAATAGCAATTCTTTAAAACTGCCGTGATTTTTCTTCTCTATGCGAGGAAAATTCTGCAAAAACTTCTTGGAATAAAGTCAATTTGTTCTCCTTTGAAAAAATAACACAGAGGCTGTGTGAGGAATTCAGAGCAGATCAAATCAAGATAAGCAAGTACTATATAGCACTTGCGTCCTTTTGATAATGACTGGACTGTCTAGATATTTTTTAGGCCTTAAAAATTCGTTTTTCTGCTTGTTCAGGGTGTCTACTAAAACAGGCTAGCCAAAAATCAGTACTTTCACAGTACTTTTCCAGTCCATTCCCATGAAATTCAGTACCTCCTCATACGAGAAATTCAGTGCTTTTTCAGTACCTCCAATTGACGAAATTCGATAATTTTCAAAAATTTGAATTTCTCGCTCGAATTGTAACAAATCGACAAAAATTCCAGACCTTCTGGTTAAATTCCGCACTTTATCAGTACTTCCAGACGGCCCTTAAAAAATCAGTACTATATCCGGACTTTCCGAGGACTCCGGACTTGTACACACCCTGTTGTTACATTGCAACAAGATTTATCCATGCCTAAGCAATGCCAAACCACCAAACACTCAATTTTCAATTTATTGGCGCTTAAGATTTTTTTTGTGAATGACCGCAATTCAATTGGTACTTCCAGGAGTTCCAACTGCTTGGAACACCACTTAAGGTAATTTCTGAATTTTTTTTGTGAGTTGCCAACATTCAGAGAATGCACGCACAAAATCGTACATGAAAAGAAAACAAATAATAATTTTAAGTAACTATGATACAAGATATGCAAAACTAAAAGAATAATAAAATGAAACAAACCTTTCGGCTTAAACTACAGTAAGGACTATAAAGTGAACCATTTAGAGATGGCGTGCGTGAGCGAAGAGAGAACTGAAATATACACACAATTAAACAATACGTATGAAAAACTAAACAAAGAGCTAAAAACAAAAAATTTGAAAAATAAAAAAGATTAGAGGACTTTAAAAATTAATGAGAAACTAACGATTTTGAATGCATACTCATGCAAAATTATAAATAAAGTAATAGAGGTACATACAATCATCACAATAAGGAACGATGCATGCTTGTTGTTGGACTTGCACTGATCAGAAATTGAAGTGAGGCCGACAAGCATACTGATGGCTGACTAAACAACGGAATTCAACCGTTGGTTTTAAAATTCCTTCTACCTATCTTTTTCTCTTGCGGTAAAAAGAACCACATTTCTTGCTTGATTTTCATCAGACATTTTTCACACAGAGATAAAAAACTTTGGTAGATTTAAGAAATTAAGTTGATTATTTTTTATTTAAAAAATATAATACATTGAGAGATTTTCAGTGTTGCAAATTGAGATGTGAATTTTTGGATTTTAACCTTCCTCACACCCATGTTGATTTCGATGTTAATGGGTAAGGTAATATGTTCGGTCTTTGTTCCGAAGTCTTGTGAGTCTCAAATTAGCTCTTGATATATTGCACTGGAAAGCTAAAAAATGTAAGAATTTTTTTTAAAAAAAAATAAATAAATAAAAATGCAGCATACCTGAGCAGCGCATTACTTAGGAATACAGAGTGCAACTAAAATCAAGAGAACTAAAATGGAACTTGATGACTAAAAAGAAAATTGCAAGCTACTCTTTTCTCACTGTTGGAGGAAAGCACCGAACCAACAGACTAACTAGCCTTAAATATTCTACGGATAAAGTATCGAGTACCTACACAAAGTGACTAAACCACTGTAACAATTTTCATGTGTTGACATACCTGCATTTCACTGGCCGCAGAGCTGCTCAAGCGATCAAAGTCACGACCAGTGTCAGCTGTGTCTGTGTCTGTGTAATGGCCGTTTAGATGGGTGGATGATCCGCCATTGATTATCGCTCCATTCTCAGAGGGACCGGGTCCGCAACGTGGATGCCAAATAGCACCGCCTGTGTTCAAAGAATAATCACAAATGGCATTAATTTGTTAGCATACATAGTTTGACGTAAGAATATTGTGGGGCCTTTGAGGGATGTACATTACTGCCAATAAGGTTCTAAATTTCATAACAAAGTTGACCTGCTTTGGTAATGAGCAATCAGTAGCAATGCATTTAAATTGACCAGAAGTCAAAAAAAGTAAATTTGAGTTTAGGTATTTAAATAGAGGCACTGGATGCGAAAAGGGCACTTCTCGGTTGCAGTGTTTCAGAGTCTCCTCTAATATTTCATTCATTGTGAGGGAAGTGTATGCATCCATTTCCCTAAAAATTTTACTGAATATTCCTTATGATTCTAAAATTTTCTATGGGAAGAATTCTGGAAAAATTACCCATTAATTCTTCTCCAGGGGACTAATTAGCAACAGAGATTGTGAGTCACCGCAATCGAGAGGTGCCCTTTCCGCATCCAGAGACTCAATTATTACATTTAGGAAAGATTGAAAAATGATGATTTTGTACAAACATTAGGTGTGTTGCAAGGTGCAACACATGCAAATGAAAAACATGGATGACAAATTACCTTGAAGGTACATTTCTTCACCATCTCCGAAAGGATCTCCGCACTTGGTACATCTGGCGCATGTTGGATGAAAATGATGATTGTCACCAGCCTAGAAAACAGAGATTCTTCAAATGAATGTCCTAGTCTGACTTAATGAAGGTTTACTTTAAATAATCCTAAGTTCTAAAACAATGCCCACTTAATTTCACTTCGTTTCCATATGCTTTAATTGATACAAGATATCAATGGCTAAGGTGCGAAACCACATGTTTCCGTTTGCAACACTGCAGACTCCCGGCCATACTTTACTTTTTCTTTGCAAAACGAGTCATCAAGATTTCTTGAGCACTCATTCGATTTTTCCTCTCTGTTAGCAGAATATTCTGTGTAAATTTAAAGCTATGAAGTTTGCTTGCTTCTCATTAAAAAATAAAATGGGAGCATACTATCATAATACATCATTTTATTTTTTGCTAATTTAGCAGCTTAGACAATCTAAACGTGATTATGTTACTGGTGCAACTGACCTATTCCCATCTTCGATCTTTTTTACAATTACAGGTCATTCTTGATCAAGGCAAAAACGTAGAAAGCCCTTTGAAGCATTTAAAACAAGGGCTCCTCAAGTGATACACATAAAAAAAAGGCAAATCAAGACACAAAGAGATTTAATTCCATATTTTTTTGAAAGGGACAAAATGAGGATGAAAGAATAAAATGGACGTTACCTGTAGGACCTTCCCTGAAATGTAGCGGTTACAATAAGCACATTTGACTCCAAATTGTTTTTGATAATCTTTTTCACAGTAAGGAACCCCATCTCTGTAGGGAAAACATTTAAAATTAAATTTAAAAAGTTTTGTAAAACTAAATAGTTTTTCATGAGCAAATACACATATTTTAAAAAAGCAGTTGAGGAAAGTTAAGAACAGAAAGTATTAGTGACAGCGATAGTATAAGTAGTTTATTTTTACGAGGTGGACACCGAAGGCCATTTACCCTCCTCAATATTTTTTTGAAGAGGAAGAGAATTTTTTTTTCTTTTTCTAAATTCCTTTTTTTCCACAAAATGTTTGACTTAACGTTGTTAATTAAATTTTTTGCTTCAAAAAGTACCAAATTTGGTAGGAGAAAATTTTCCAGAATATGAAAAAAATCGAATTCCAGATCTACAGCGAAATTTTCTGCGACACAGTCAATTTCGTTAGAAAAAGTCTCAAGAGTGTTTCGAAAGTAAAGAGCAAGCCATTCAATGGAGTTAAAGATAGGTTTATATATACTACTTCTTGATCGCGTTACTGGATTGAGCCGACGAAGAGTATCTTGGAATTGAGGATTTTAGTATTGTGAGGAGTAGAATTAACATTTTTTTTTTTCTTCAAAATTATTTTTCTTGTCAGACTTTTGATTCATGCCTGACTATTATTCAAGACTGTTACTACTGAGCTGAAGAAAAATTAATGTTAGAACTTGCATTTCAACACATCATTTTCTATTGAATAATGTTAAATTGTGGGATTGGAATATTCTGGTATGAAAAGACTTACGGAAATTTTTCAAGCAGATTAGAGGATAGATAAAAATTGATTACGTACTTGCCCATATATTCACCATGAAGGACAACTCCACATGTCCGACACTTAAAGCACCACATATGCCAAGCATGCCCTAGAGCAACTAATGCTGGCCCTTTCAAATCTTCATGGCATCCCGCACACTCTGCAAAATAAAAACTCGTTTCATGAGGGATAAAAACAATGCGTAGTACTGCAAAAAAATAGTTGGTACACACTTCCAATGAAATAATTGCCATTTAATCCCGAAATTTTTCTGGCAATGTTCAGTATCATTCTAGGTTTGCAAGGGAAGAGAGTTGTATCTGAAAGTTCAGTCAAGGCAAAGGATAATACATCTCTTCCTTCTACATTGTAATGCAAATATAAAACATGAGGGCTCACGAAAATCGTTTGATTCTAAGAAAACGAGAAAAAAAAATTATTTTTTAAATTCCAGTCTGTAGATAAATCACTAGGGAATTTTTGTGCCAAAAATCATCTTTTTAAGTCTTGAATTAAATAGGAAAGTACTGATTTCAATTAACCATCGATATCGATACATTGAAATCCGATGCAAAATGGAAACAGTGCTTTTGACGTTATCTTTAAGATTTATTTGTATGAAGATGATTTCCGGCATGAACATTACATTCCTAAATGATTGATCTATAGACTAAGATTCAGAGTTTCCCAAAATAATCCACCAAATGGTTAAAATTTGAAACACATATATTGTACCCAAAATACATTGCACAAAAGCTGAAGATCCACCTCAACTAAAACAACTTTTCAGGTGCAGATTCAAATTGAATTCTGAGTTCAAAATGATGCTGGAATGATGGATTTTTAAATTTTTCCACACATGGAGTCAAACTTTCTGATTTTATCTACACCTTTAGAATGATCATTAAAATTCTGCACTTTTCCAAAATTTACACTTATTCTGGACTTAAAAGTCACCTTGTCAAATTAAAAACACTAAGTATGAATATTTGAGACAGAGGCTTTCCTGTTTAAAGAAAACAAAGAGTTAGTTATTACCTGATCCTGGTGCTGTGCCATTTGAACTAACTGGACTAGACTGTAAAGATTGTGTTTCTCTAACAGGAATTTGAACACATTTTGCACACAATACTTCTTTGCCGGTATACGTCACCCTTTCACCACTTGGAAATGCTTGTCTGAAACAACAAAGAAAAATATAAATATTTAATTCGATACAGTCATGGATAAAAAACGAAATGAAAAATTTAATGATTGATAAGTAATAACATTTAATAATTAAGAGAAATTGAGAGATAGAGGGCTAATTCATGATAGAAAAAGGGAAAGAAACTGACATTCCTATTACCTACTTAAGTACTCTTCAAAAATAGAAACTACATTCTCATTTTAAACATGCAGATTGAGAGAGACAATCTAATTACTTGAAACATTTCAAAAAAAAACCTTTGCCCCATATTCTGCGACCAGAAGAAAAAAATACAAGAATTGGCAAAAAATAAGACATATTGGAAAGTTCATTTACAGTCATCATTTGACGGTTCAATTTTGTGATTTAAAAATCAGTAAAAGATGAAGGAAAATTATATTATTACATAAGCGAGTGAATACACTTGAAAAGCAAATATGTCCATCTTTTAACTAAAATCTTACATAGGGAATATAAACCGACAGTGAAACTGCAAAGAAACGTAGGTATCTCAGTTGCGGTTTTCCAAAATCTCTGCCAATACTTCATGTTTTAAGAGGAAACCCAACTTGAACATTTCACAGAATGTTCTTCAGGTAGACAGGAAATACCACCGAGTTTTTTAGGAAGTGATGTCTAGTAGTTTTCCATGTAAAAAATAAAGTACAACTGGAGGTCTAAATTGCCATACCAACTGAGATACAAATTTATGTAGTTTCACAGACATCTGGCTACAACGAAAAAATAATGAAATATTTTCTACTCAATGCCAATCCCTACTACTTCAGTGAAATTTTGCATTGAACAGAGACTTCCTTGTATAATAACGTCTTCTTGCTACATACCTGCAACGGGCACAAGTAAAACACCTTTGATGATAAGTTTTTCCTAACGCTGAAACTACTTCTCCTTCTACATAGTCATTGCAAATGGCACACTTGGTACCAAACTGTTTTTGGTAGTCCTCCGTACAAAAATACACTCCATCTTTGTCAAAGAACCCTCCTTGAGCTAACGAACATTTGCATACTGAAACAAAGGGAACAAAACAAAAAATAAGTTTCTTGTTTTTTTAACGTTCATTCTGAAAAATATTGTTAAAGAGATATGTAATTGTACATATGAAGCCTTGTAGGTATGTAAAAAGAACGGATGTTAGGTTTTTAAGTTTTGAGAAAATCGCAAACAAAGTTTTCAAAGCTGTGCATTCGGGTGTCCATTACGCTTATAGAGTTCGGTCAAGGACTTTATTTCAGAGCCAATCCTTTTCGAAAAAATGAGCTTTATTATTCATTTATCATACCTAATAATATCGTTTTGTCTTCAGTTATGTGTACAGGGTTATTATTTTTCATTTATTTATTTTATTTTTTTTAAACATACACGGAAAAAAACACCTTGGATGAACATGTGAGGGTTCATGAACATAAAAATCAGAATGAAAAAATATTAACACGGCGGAGTAAAACATATGGAGATACCGGGGATCGAACCCGGGGCCTCTCACATGCAAAGCGAGCGCTCTACCACTGAGCTATATCCCCTGTGAAAACGAGCACTCGAAATTAACGCAGTTCAGAGGCCAGCGTGAAGTCATAGAGCTGAGGTGCCCATAGCGCGACGACAGCGCCGTCTGGCGGAAAAGAAGGGGAACTTTCGGAGCGGCGCGCGCCGCGCCGCGCCGTGACCGCGACCTTCATCAACACGATAGTTCAAAAGTTGCCATGTTGAGATTAAATAAATGTCTTTGGCTCCGATGGGTCATTAGCCGAACTGTACCGAGAGTAAGATATATTGATCATAAGATACGGCTCTCTTTTAAAATTTCCAGCGAATAAGTATCCGACATGGGTAGCCCTTGAAACTGCCTCGCAAAATCTTAGCCAGGGGTGCAAAAAATTCTTAGCCTTCCCATTATTAAGACCCCCTTTCCTCAGAAATTTCGTAAACATGACTTTTGCACGGCTCTGACCCTATAAGTTGCCGCAATTGCGAAAAACACGTGATTTTTACCGCGGTTTTGCAAAAAAAAAAAAAAAAAAAAAAAAAAAAAAAACAATCTACGATGATTTTACGGCTTCTCTATTTTAAACACAGTTTTTGGGACCTTCCAATTTCCACACACGGCCGATGGTCTTTGCACTCATGACAAAATATCGGAGCCGTGGTTGGTGAAAGATAGAATCTGGGGCTTAAAGGACGAGGCGCATACGTGCAGTTTTTGAAGAATTGAGAGATATTAATGATTTTGGCTAAAACTAATCTTAATACAAATCTGATACAAATTCACTACCACAATCCAATTTTTAAGCATCAAAAAGTGAGATTCAACTTTCTTGATGGCATACAGGCTCCAGGTAATTTTAAAACTAAAAACACGTATTTCTCGAAATTGCAAAACCTGCATTTATCTCCCTTATCCTCCATGCCCCACATCGATTGAACCGCATGATGTACTATGTTCACGTTTCCCTGCTTTTCGTTCCGTTATTGGTTTATCAAAATATAGTTCCGGGAAATGGACACATAAATGGACTGTATTTTGCAATTAGGAACTACTATTTCTGGCTCAGTTTAGAAACAACATATCGACGGTGAAAGTCGGCAATCACATAGGTAACTCGTTTGCGGTGTCTGAAAATCTCCGCCTCTACGTCATTTTCTCAAAGGAGAACAAATTCATATTATTTCTTGAAGTTTTTGCAGAATTTTCTTCGCATTGAGAAGAAAAATCATGACAGTTTTAAAGAATTGCCGTTGAGTAGTTTTCCATTTAAAAAATAAAGTATGACAGGAAGTCTGCGACGTCGCAAACCGAGTTATGTGATTGCCGACTTTCACCGTCGATATGTACTCTTGTGTATATGTTTCCCTGTACACATGGCTTATTGTACAGATGACCCAGAAATTGTAATTCGAAATTGAAAAATGTATCCAGATAATTGAGGGATGTAACCACAATCAATTTAACTGCATTAGACGTTCACCTTCGTGTTCTTCATTTTTCTTTAATGGAAAACCAATCAACATAGCTTCCAGAGAGCTCCAAGGTGGCACAGGTTCATATCTTGCCAATCTCCTTAAATTCTAACTCATTTTTTGATTTTTTTTTTTATTAAGCATTTACTGTGAACTTCTACACATTGTAACTAAATTTAAAAAATAAAGTGGACTTTGCAAACAACAGAGAAGTTTACATCATTTACAATATGCATTTTGTGATTTGGAGGCGAATTTTAGGTAAAGGAAAAATTACATCTATAATGGAATTAGATAATCAATTTGGCGGGAGAAAGACGGTTTTCATATTTCACTTCATTTACTTATTTATTTTTTTCCTTCCTTCTTTCTTTTTTTTTTTTTTTGGTGCTTCAGTTTTAAGCTACCTACCTACTTGCGAACTGGCCCTGACAGGAAAGCTGTGCGAGCCGACGGAAATAGAAAACTGGGCGTGGTTCAGCTGAACCTTTTTAAATGATTGGTACTTCGGGGAAAACTGCACGAGGAAAAGGGTGAACCGGAGGTGTACAGAAAACAACCTTACACAGTAAAATTGAATACAAGATAAAACTCAAAAAGTGTAAAACAATGGATTGATCTCTAAAATTTAAGAAAGAAAGGGTGACAAAATCTCTCATCTCCTGAGAGTACAGTAATTTTTCATTTTGTCGTCTTTCGGTGATACAAGAGACAGAACCTTCTATTAGTCGAGTTAATAGAGAAACCAAACACGGAATTTGGCCTGGAGCAGCGCGGCGCAAAGAGGAATGATGACGAGGGCTTAAGGTGAAAAGGAGAAGCCCTGGGCGCGGCGGTCGGCATTTAACACATATTAGCGCCTACAAGACTGCATGAATACTTCACGCATTACGTAAAACGCTGTGCGGTCAGCAGCGGTCGACGTGAAACGCACAGCGCCTACAAGACTGCGGGAATAGTTCACGCATTGTGCCCAACACAGTGCGATCAGCGCTTGGCGGCGGCGGAAGTTAAAATTATTAAATCACATTGATGTTTGTCCTTTCATAATGTTTTTCTTCATTTCTTATAAATGGGAGGCCTTGTTCACATTGAGATAAGTTTACGGAACTTATCTTTCGCGCAAAAGTTCCGTGACATTTTGCTAGTGTTGACACGGCTTACAAAAAAAATGTTCTCAACACGAGTAAACGCGTTTTAAGCAACCCCTCCCCCTCCGGCACGTTCGCTCGATGGTTTTTATTGATGTTTCAAAACGAGTAAGAAGGGGGCGGCAAAATACATGCGGCCATGGGCGGCAGGTAAGTAAATCCGGCCCTGCGCGCATCTCAACATATTCGTGTTTTTTTTTTTCTTTTTTTTTCTTTTTTTTTCTTTTTTTTTCCGTTGAAGAGTTATAAAAAAGTCCAGCCAGATACGGTTAATTCAGAGCCCAGTATAGGAGGACCCAAAGATTGTAGAAACTATGGCTTACATTACTGATTCACGGTTGCCATAATTTTTCATCTTTTAAGTCCCTGACTTTCCCTGACTACTTTCGCTTTTACTTGAGTCCAATAAATTCGGATTCTCGGACTTTCCCTGGCATTCAATAGTGGAACTTGCACTTAGATTTTTTCCCCCTTTAAATTACACTCACTTCTGCTGAACTCTGGACGCATTAAATTCCCCAACTTTTTGTGTGAATTCCCTGACTTTTCCCGGTAACCGCCGATTCCCTGATTTTCCCGGTTTTCCAGACCGCAGCAACCCTAATGATTGCTTTAGGATCATCGAATTGGAGTACCAGCAGACTGAATGAGCTCAAAAAGAAACGAATCAATGACGAAATATTTACGAGAAGCCTGCCTAAAGTTTTCGCATGAAATCCTAAGTAAACGCTGACAAAAATCGAGTAAATGCCTCTCATCACCATCACGGCAGTATATCAAGTGCGGGATGTTTTCCGGGAGTCATGTAGGCACGCCTGGTACGGGAACGCAGTCTAGAGATGGAAACAGCCGAACGCATGCGCATCAGTGGCGAAGCTTGAATGGCCGATCATCGATACTTCCCCATTTGAGGCTACGGTAAAAAATCGATTATAAAGGCTTTCGTTGCTGACAACACTTTTTATCGACCCTTTTCCATAGGTTTAAACGGCAAGTCGATCGATATATCGCGAGGCAATCCTCGCCCCTGGGCGACCGCGGACTCGGAGCAGGGACCTAATAATACACTCGGCGTGTTTGTATTTACTCCACTCCGACACTTGAAAAAAGCCACACTCACATTCACATTAGCTCGGAGTTGGGTGTGCAGGTCGAGCAGCCGAAGCTTTGGCACAGAAACACTTGTAGCTTGTAGCTTTACCGTCAAAAACGGGTTAATGATGGTTTTATTGCTTGCCCCCGCTCCTGCCATCCACGAAAAAAGCCTCCATCACTCTAGGTTTTCAAGCTTTATTTAAGGACAAAATCGTTCCGAGCTTTGGACGAACAAGTTCGGCGAATTCTGAATGTAAGGCGGTACTCCTCTAAGGATGCAAGAAGTTTTCAGCTTAGCCTTCTCATTTTAACCCCCCCCCCTCCCAAAAAAAGAAAAATTCAGTTAAGACCTTTTTCGGGTGTCATCCAAACCGCAAGGAGACGTAAAAATTCAACAATGGGCCCGGCGAGGCATCGGGTTGGCGGCACAGATGGCGCGGACCAAGTTATGCAAGAGAAAAGACTCGCAGGGTATGGATTCGGGTCAAGCAACTCGATTTACGACGAGTCGGTCACTCACGTCACAGTCACACTCACTGTCACATATCACATTCGTATACTGCCGTACTAAGGAATAACACTGTATGAATATTCGAGAGTTGCCAAATTTCCTCCGATTTAATATTTGTTTTTGAGGAAATTTATGAATATTTTTCCTTGAAATTTTCAGGGACTTTAGGTGAAATTGCGGAGAAAATTATCTGAAAAATTGGAGGGAAAATATTCATAGGTTTACTAGGAAATTCGTGTTTTATCAAAGGAAATTTGGCAACGCCTGAAGGTTCATACGGCGTTTTTCCTCAGTATGGCAGTATAGCACAGGGTATGACTGTGTTTCACAAGCATGTGATGTGGGTGTTCAGCGCTTACTTTATTATTTTTCTCATATTACATTCTCATTAACAATTTTGGGATTGATTGTGATTTCTGCGTCCAGCTCAAAGTTCTTGTTGTTGCGGTTGCGGTTGTTTTTGTTATTGCCTCCCCCCCCCCCCCCCTTACTCTGATGATTTTATAAGGCAGTTGCGTCTACGCTAGGGAAGCACTACCTCCCTAAAAAGAATTTGGGAGATTACTATTCTGATACGAATATTATTCTCTTCATTATGAATCGAGGCACTTGAATGGAAACCCAGAACCAGAACATGAGGGAAGCGTGAACTTACTTTTACAATTAAAACAGGCTATGTGAAAATATTTGTCTTGGACCCGCAGAACTTCTCCAGAGCATTTCTTCTTGCAGTTGGCGCAAAAAGTTTTTCCTGCGAACAGAATTGAAACACGCATGTTAGTATAAAACAACTAAATATGCTTTAAAGTCAATTGTATAACTACTTCATTACAAATAAATATAAAAAAGCGTCATCACAAGCATGCTTCTAGACGCATGCATACATAAGCTCAGGTACACATTTTCTCCAAACAGCTGCTGTGTTACGAAAGACCGCAGTATGTGCACTTACAATCAGACGAGAGTTTCGGTTGGCACATGTTTTTAGGCTCGGTTTAGGACTTTACTGCTCTTTTCCGTGACACGGAGGATAGCTTGGCTTCATATTTGAAAGCACTTGCTCCTCAAAGTGGAAGTACCGTACCGGTAGCTTAGTCTGAATTTTACTACGGTTCTTTTTCCAGTGCAGTGGACGATCACATTTCGATTCATAGCATTCGAAGTCACTATGTCTATCGATGGCCAAAGTGCAAAACCACGTTCACGTCGCTCCGTTTGCGACGTTTCAGGCTTCCTCTCATACTTTACTTTTTCCTTGGAAAAGTAGTCAACAAAATTTCTCGAAAAGTGCTTGACTTTCTTCGCTGTTGGCAGAATATTCAGTATTAATTTCAAGCTAAAAAGTTGACATGCTTCTCTCCAAAAAAAAATAAAAATAAATAAATAATAATAACAAATAAACTCGGAGCAGAGATGTTGAAACACCGCTATAGACATACGTGGTTTCGCACTTTATCCATCGATATAATCCAATCGATCTGGCAACATCTCACGGAGCTCCCACGCGGCCACCAGCCCAGCCAGGATGTAGCATTCGAACGTGTCTGAGCGGTGATGCGGGTTGCAGCGGTTCAACGGCAAGGCGCTGTGAGTTATGGATGCACAGAGATTAGATTTCGTAGCCAATGAATTAAGTGTGAATTAACAAGCAGATCCATGAGTGATTTCGTTTGGTTCGCCCGTGGCAAACCGCCAAGAAGGGATCACGATGCTGCGGAATAGAGAGACCACCAGCACCATAACTCGATCGAGATCAAGACATATGGTTCTCCATCTCAACTGCAATATCCATGAATTTTCGTATACATCGTATTAATATAGGTAACCCATCAGTTACTAGTGAAATTCTATATTTTACCGTACCGAGAGGACCGTCTTTATGTCTGCCGGACTGCCTAGCCGAAGGGACTAAAGCCAAAAAGCTTAACTGCTTAGCAATGTTGCGAAATTTCACCGCATTACTTATGCAAGAATTACAGGTAGGTTAACAAGCTCATTTTCGTGCAATCTAGAACAAGATTCACGAGAACGTCTTTCAGAAAAAGAGAAAAAAGCAGTAACGAGGCGTGAATGATTTATCGATATTTCCCCATTTGAAGCCATGGTAAAGAATCGATTACTATGGTGTTCGTAGCGGACACGCGGTTTATCGATATTTTTCCATAGGTTTAAATGACAGATCAATTGATGCATCGAAAAGCACGCCACGCCACCGGAAAAAAGGGAGGAGGGTCGCATTGCTTCGTCCCAAGTCAATCGACCCCTTCAATTTTTGAAGATGCAGTCTTATTGACCAAATTGAGCAGCGTGAGTTTTCCATAAACCTCGAGAGGAGAGGGGGGGGGGGAGAGACCAAAGATAAAAGAAAATCGGAGCCAGGTCGAAAGTTGTCGGGAGGGGTCGCTTTTCTTTGTCACTACCGTGACATTTCCCATTTTTCCCGTTCGACGTCGAGAACAATGAAAGAGAGAGAGAGAAAGGGAAGAAAAAGCTCTGCGTGGCAGAGCAGTGCTCTCTGATGAACTCAACTACACCGCCGTCAATGGTGAGGCGTGAATGATCGATTATCAATATTCCCCCATTTGAAGCTATGGTAAAGAATCGATTATTGAGGTGTTCGTTGCAAACGCCCTGTCTATCGATCCTTTTCTATAGGTTTAAATGACAGATCTATCGATATATTGCAAAACACGCCACGCCACTGACAGCCGTTCAGGGCAGGATCGATCCGATGAACTCCGATGCAATCTTCGGCTGGAGCAATAAGGAAAGTGGTTTCGGACGAGAAACGGAACATTTGACATGGTAAGAATGGACCACTGCGGGCTGATTAATGAAATTTATAGACATAGCGATAGACGAAGATAGCAAAACCGAAATGAAGCTAGCCTATTGGTGGAAGCGGATGGTTGCCATGGACAAGGCGGTTGTACTAATAGACTAACTAACAGTGACTTACGAGAGATCCAATAGTTAGTCCATCATTTCCCCCTCAGTCTATGAGAACCGCCCGTTTCAACCATTAGGATCGCTTCATTATCCTTGGTCTTCTATGTCTATCGCTTTATCTATAGATTTCAATAATAAGCCTGCTGAACAGGGTAAAAAACTCAGCGCTTCAGTACGCGTCTCCTCGTCAAGAAGTCAGAACACGATGGACACGTTGAAATTTCGAATTCAATTCAAACCCCCCACTCACAAAAACATTAAAATCAGAGTGGCTTAAATAAAATTAGCTTTTGAAAACTATTTCATACGTTCGACAAAATACTATTCAGTTTTTTTTTTTTTTGTAAAACCTTTCATTCCTTTGGTTCACAATACTTGTAACACACTGGGGAAGAAAACACATCGTACCTAGAGTCCAGACTCTTAAAAACATCCACAATACTCTCGATTCAATCAGATTTAAGCTTAAATCAAGAACCAAGCCTCTTAATTTGAGCTGATTTCTTTTTGATTTAAGCTTAAATCTGATTGAATCAAGAGTCCTTTTTCTTGTCAATGTTTTCAAGAGTCTGGACTCTAGATCCAATGTGTTTTTTTTTTTCCAGTGCATTTCCAGGAAATAGCAACAATTAATTCGCCGCAATATGGATTTATTAGTGCATTGCTTCATTTGGCTCAAGTAAACTTCAAAGCATTTCAACAAGGAACTTCGAATTCACGAATATAAAGAAATGCTGATTCTTCAGAAGAGACTAACTTTTTCGGCTTATTCCCGAAACGGCAAGTGTATAATTGCTTCCCCTACTCCAATATGTGTTTTTTTTATAAATATGTCAATGTACTTGTTTCCTTTTCGATAAGCGCGGTTCAATTTAAAAAAAGGCTGTTTCACGCTGAATGAACGTGTTGATGTTAAAATGAACCATACGAACAAGGTTTGGGTAATTCCTTTTGGCATACATACGTCAAATTCTGACTAAAACCCATTAAATGAATGACATAAACCCAGTATAATTTGCGAGAATCGCCAGACAGGCACGGGCTCTTTGGAGAGCGAACAAGTTAGGTTCGAACATCGATCGATTCGATATTTTCCTGTGTTTGCAGTCGCCGTGACGTAATGGCGGCGGCCCTACACTACACTAAGGAAAAACGCCGTAGGAGCCTTCAGGCGTTGCCAAATTCCCCTCAATGAAAACCAAATTAACTGGACAATTTTTTAATGTTTTGCTTCAAATTTTTCCGACGGATTTGTTCGCTATTCGATCTAAAATACCTGAAAATTTCAAGGAAAAATAAGAGTAACTTTTCTAGAAAATACACGATTGATCTGGGGAAATTTGGCAACTCTCGAATGTTCATACGGCGTTTTTCCTCAGCACGGCAGTACAGTCCGCTCCCACCTTGTTGGTTCCGCGCCATCGAAAATATCAGTGCTCGGGTTGCAGGAGGCGAGGCTGGTCGTAAAAATTGATCGGTTCCTTTCAGAGGAACGAAACTTTAAAGGTCAACCCGTCACGGCCAAAGGGACATTAAAACCCCTCCTTCGTACGTTCGGAACTCGCACAGAATCCGCGCCAACACGCCGACGAAATTAAACACCTAGCTTATGATGATGCCACAAAAAAGCATGAAAAAACTAAATTTAAGAACCGCGGCACTTAAACCAAGATGCAGGGTTGCCAAATAGAATATAGAGATAAAAAAACTCCGTATTTTTTTCTTGCCGTGTTGGAGAAAATGCCCGACATTGTTTCATCTTTTCGGACGGATTGGTAAGAAGTTCTATTTTCACGATCAAAATGGGACATTGATGCGGCTGTTGAGTGTTGCCTACCGAAATTTAAGGGCACCCCTCTTTTTTGTTCGACATTAATCGAGAACAGAGCGAGCATCAAATTAGATAAGGACTGCGTTTTGCAATAAAAACTCTTATTTCTGGCTCGGTTAGGAGACACGAATATACCATTACTTTCCCTATGCAAATTGACATAAGTTTTTTTTGTAGATGAGTCAGAAATTAGACAGTGGAAAAAAAATTAAAGCGCTGGGTGCAGAATCATTCTTAGTTGCGTTCATTTCTTAGTTGCAGTGTCTCAGGATCTCCGTTAGCGTATCATCCACTGTAATTAACGCAAATACATGGAATTCGTCAAAACTTTTACTGAATTTTCTTTGTAATTTTACAATGTTGAGAACTAAAAACTTCAGAAAATTCATTCGACCATTTCCCCTCTAAAATATACATTGGCAGTGGGGATTCTGAAACACCGCAACCGAGAAATGCCACCCAACGCCTCAGTTAATTGGAGTTCCTGATTGGAAAGTGTAATTCATATACAGATACACAAACTCGATAAATATATTCAACCAGAATCAATCTTTTAGTAACAAATATAGCTTTTAATGTAGCAAGAATAGTTCTTTGTGCTCTGCCCTTTATATCAAGATTTTATTCAAAAGAAATTATACCAGACATAGAAACAGGATCCGTCTGACCTCCTTTCAAAGTCACTCAGATAAGATTTATAGATATTCCTTTATTAAACACTATAATTTTACTAATATCAGGATTTTTCATTACCTGGGCTCATTATAATCTAACCATAAACAGATTTAAAAATTCAAGAATTAACTTAATAATATCTATCTTATTAGGAATATATTTTTTAGTAATTCAAGGATATGAATATATAAATTCTAGAATTAGATTTAATGATAGTGTATTTGGAAATTCCTTTTTTATTTTAACTGGATTCCACGGATTGCATGTAATGATTGGTCTAATCTTTTTAGTTGTCA